CTTACCTGTGGCCCCATGTAATCACTATTAGAACTCCATTTATCCCTCAGAATGTTCTTGTTTAGATGATCAATTATATAGTCACCCTGTGTATATCAATAGATTTGAAACAGTTTTTTCACTAAAGTTTTGTAGTTTTCTGCATACAAATTTTGTTTTTTTGTTAAATCAATTCCTAAGTATTTTATTCTTTTTGGTCCTATTTTAAATGTAAATATTGTCTTAGTTTCATTTTCAAATTGTTCATTGCTAGTATATAAAAATACAGTTGGTATTTTGTATATTAAATTTGTATCTTGTGCCCTTGCTAACCCTGTTTATTAGTTCTAGTTTTGGTTTTGTGTGTATATGGATTCTATGGAATTTTCTACATATAGGATCATGTGATCTGTGGGTAAAGACAGTTTTATTTTTTGTTTTTCAATCAGCTGGATATCTTTAAAAATTTTTTTCTTGTTGCACTATCTGGAGCCTCCAATACAGTGTTGAATAGAAGTGGCAAGAGCAGACATCGTTGTCTTGTTCCTGGTCTTTGGGGAAAAACATTCAGTCTTTCAACATTAAGCATGTGATAGCTGTGCGTTTTCACAGACGCCCTTTATTAGGCTGAGGAGGTTCATTTTATTCCTAGTGTGTTGAAAGTTTTTATAATGAGTGAGCATTGGATTTTCCATATGCTTTCCATGCATCTGTTGTGATGATCGTGTGGTTTTTGCCCTGTATTCAGTCAATATGGTGTATTACATCGGTTGATTTTTGGATGTTAAATCAACTCTTTACATCTAGGTAAATCCCACTCTGTCATGTTGTATGACCCATTATGTACATGGGTTTGATTTGCTAATACTTTTGGAGGATTTTTGTATCAATGCTCATTACTTTTGTACCTATTGGTCTGTGGTTTTCTTATTATATTTTTGGCTTTGATAGAAGAGTAACGCTGGCCTCATAGAATGCACTGGAAAGTGTTCCCAACTCCTTTATTTTCTGAATTAATCCTTCTTGTTAAGGATCAATATCATTCTTTCTTTAAATGTTTGATAAGTTCTCCAATGAAACCATTTAGTTCAGAAATTTTCTTTGTGGGAAGGTTTTCAATTATTAATTAAATTTCTTGTTATGTATAGGTCTATTCAGAGTATTTATTTATTCTTTAGTCCATTTTGGTAATTTGTGTCTTTCTAAAAAATCCATCCATTTCATCTAAATTATCTAGTTTGTTGGCATAAATTACTTATAACATTTCCTTTAATTCTTTTTAGGATTAGTAGTAATGTTTTTTCTTGATTTTGGTAGTTTCTATTTTCTTTCATTTCTTTTTTTGTAAGTCTAGCTTGAGGTTTGTCAAGCTTGTTGATATTTTCAAAGAATGAGTTGTTTTCCTGTGTTTTTCTCTCTCGTGTGTGTGTGTGTGTGTGTGTGTGTGTGTGTGTGTGTGTGTTTTTTTTTTTGTGTGTGTTTTTTTTTGAATTTTCATTACAATTTTTATTATTTCTGTTTGGGTTGAGTTTAGCTTGCACTTCTTTTTCATGATTGATTTTAAATCTTCTTTTCTGACACAGGCATTTAAAGTCATAAATTTACCCCCAAGGGATTGCTTTAGCAAACATCTTATAAATTTTGATGTATTGTGTTTCATGTATTCTGTGGCTCTCATCTGGTTGCCTATGAAATATATTGTAGCAACTTTTTGTACATATCCTAATCAGTATTTGTTTAGCTTATTAAATGTATAGATGAACAACAAATTTTCAGAGTTTGGGGCATAATTCTTCAAATGTTTTTCCTGATCCTTTTTCCCCTCCTCTTTATCAGGCAGTCCCATCATATGTTTGATGTTATCTCATAGCTTGCTGAGTCTGCTCCATTTTCTTCAGTCTTTTTCTCTTTGTTATTCAGATTAGATAACTTCTCTTGTTCTAGCATCAAGTTTACAAGTTCTGTCTTTTGCCAACTTTGATATTCTCTTAAACAGTCCCCCTCCCAGTGAATATTTCACTTCAGTTATTATACTTTTCTACTTCAGGTTTTTAAAAATCTGATCGTTTTGTAATTTCTGCCTCCTTGATAATCTTTATTTGTTGATTTCTAGTTGTGTTCATTTTTACTTTACTTCTCTAAGCTTTATTTTCTATAGTTCTTTGAATATATATATCCAAAAATTCACATTTCTAAATATTATATTATTTACAACTAGAGGCCCGATGCATGAAAATTCATGCAAGAGTAGGCCTTCCTTCCCCTGGCTGCCGGCAGGGGCTTCCCTCTAGGACCCAGGACCCAGGCGGCTTCACTCGGGCCCCGGCTTCGTCTGGAAGGACGTCTGGAGCATATTACCCTTTTATTATTATAGATTATTATTCTAGATAGTTGCTTTGAAGTCATGGTCTGCTAAATAAAATATCTGGTTTAGCTCAGAGACAGCTGCTATTGAGTTGTGGTTTTGTTTTCTTTACCTCCTGAGAATAGTCACACTTTTCTGCCTTATAATTTTTATTGAAAAATAAAAATTTGTGTCAACTCTAGATTCTGATTTCCCCCCCAAAGGTGTGTTATTAATGTATGTTTACTTAGATAATTGCCTAGACTAAATCTGTAAATTTATGTTCCCTGTGACATGTGGCTGTTGATGTGTCTTCTTGGTTTTTTATTTTATTTTTAATGAGTATATTATTAAGCAGAGCTTCATGGGTTCACCCTTTGTTAGTGGTAGCCAATGATTAGACAGAGATTGTGCTCAAGCACTTTGAGTAAGTCTTTCATCTTCTGCCAAATGGATATACGTATGTATTGGATAGTACATGCAAATTTCAGTCTACTTATAGTCCTCCCCAGCTTGAACTTTGCTCTACATTTTTTCTTATCTCTTTTGCATATGCTCATAGTTTCAGGGTCGACCAGGGGTGTTTGGCTAGTTGGGCTCTTTGGGGTCTCCACTAAGGGTGCACACAGCTTTAGCCAAGCACATGCTTACTGCAGCCATGACCACAGCCTCACACCAGCAGAGCCTCTGGTCCTTTCTGCTCGCACACAACTGGTTTTGTCAGTTCACCATTGCATCACTCCCCACCTCAGATTGAGTGAGCTCCCTTCAGCTGTGCAGTTTTGCTGCCAGTCGTCATGGTCTGCCCACCGTGTAAGAGCCTTCATGCCCATCAAACCAGTGTTGGGAGGGGAAGGAATTGGAGTGGCTGCAGGCAAGAATACCACTGCTGTTCCCAGAATTCTGCAGTTTTTTAAGCATCGACACTTCTCGGATTGTTGTGTGCCTTTGGCCATTTTCCGAGTGCTGAAATGGCTAGTCTTGTCCATCTAGTCCAGTTTTATAGTTGCTTTTCAAGGAGACTTATTGATCTCACTGGACTCTAACCAGAAGGCCTGTCTAGCATCACTTTTAAATTAGGAAAGGCATAAATGTTATCATTTTAATTAAAAGTGTGTCTTCATAGGATTCCCGGGACTTGTCAGCTTGTGGCTCAAATGCTGTTAGCCTGATAGGTGGAAAGTGAGCCCAGAAATGGGAAGTTGGCCTGATCATTTTCCTTGGGCTCCTTTCAGAGTGAGAAGAAGCCAGTAAAACTACCCCAGTGTCTGGACGCTTTATAGCAGTTTAACAGGCTGGAAAGTGAAGCCTTTGTCTATTTATTTATCACAAACTCACCCTTAACTGTGACATCCATGATGTTAAGATGTGGGACATAATCTTGCCTTAAGATTCTTGGCCTTCATTCTCCTGGAGCAGGTTTGTTTTTGGCAATAATCGAGGCAGACACTCTCATGAGACAAGTGCATCACCTGACAGGTGCAGCCGCAGCGGGAGGCGGGCTGCTTTTGTGTGTGAGTAGGTTGTATCCCTGACTGCTGCCTTAGTCTAATCTCTGCTCCTTTTTGACTGGTGCCTGGTTATGAGAGTAATGCAAGTTTTTTATAAAAATGTAGAAAGAACAAAAATAAAAGATCAGCTGTTCCTCAAACTATTCAGCAACCTCAATGTTGACAGTTTAATTTGTTTCCTTCTAGTTTTGTGTTTGTAATTTATGTAATTGTGGCCACAGAGCCTATATTATTTGCATCCTATTTCTAAAATTGTGTCGTTACCGTGGGTTTATTCTAGAGGCTTTGGGAATCCAGAACTGTGTGCATGTCTCCTGGTTGTTTTCTCCTGGTCTTTCTGACTTGCACATATGATTTAGTGTTTTATTTTTATCGAACATGTCCTTACAATATATATATATATAATTTGTCTTTATATATTTGTTTTTACATTACAACATGCTTTTTTCATGTTATAAACTATATAAATGTAATTTTAAATGGAAGCAAGATATTTCATGGAAATGTAAGAATTTTTAACTTCTGCTCTCAGAATCAGACTTTTTCCCCCTACTTTTGAGAGGAAAAAAATCTACATGATATAGAATAAGTGCTATTTCCTCAAGGATATAAGCTAAGGATATAATTCAAGATTGGAATGATTGGGTCAAAGCACAACTAATGTGAGGCTCCCTGGACATTGGCCCAGAAGGGTTAGAACAGGATCATTGGCAACAGCACACGCGGGGACCATCTGACATCACCTGGACATCAGGAAGCCCTCACTGCTCTCTCACTGGGACAGTGCTTCTTAAAATATGTAGATTAAATTATTTGTACCAAAGCTCGGTTATTTGCCCTTGAAAAACATAGGCAAGCTTGCCAGCACAGAGGTGGAGGAGGAAGAGCTTGGGTAATTAAATTTCTGGTCTGTATGATTATTTTTAACCATATGTAAATGAAATCCATTTTAAAAGAGTAGTGCAAGTTATAGATCCTGTTTCCAAGTTTCTCCTACAAGAAATACAGTAAATCTTTATTTTATAGTCACAGTTTTAACCTGAATCTCTGGAGGATTAAACATGTATCTCTCATTTAAAACATGTGTATATTGTAATTTTAAAGACATCGTTTGTTACTTTAATAGAAAGCAGTACTTTTTCTCATTCCCCTTTCTTACCACATAGGATCTGAAGAAGCTGAAGAAAAGCAGGACAGTGAAAAGCCACTTTTAGAGCTATGAGTCCTACTTTTGTTAAAGTAAGTCTTTGAAAATGAAACTGTAACAGCAAAGTGTTGAAATAGGGAGCATTTCTTCGAGCGGATTCAAAGTAAAATTCAAAGAATATGAGTGAATCTGTAGCCAGATTTCTCCAATTTACATGAATTTATCAGTCATATTGTAACTTGTGCAAAAGGTCTTAACATTTTTTGTATGGGTATAAATTCGTGAAGTATGAAAAATACCTCAGAGACCTCAGTTTCTAAATAAGGATGAATTCATTTTTGTTTACTTGGCCAGAATGTCTCCATGTCAGACATCGTTTAATTACAAACCCTAGCTTATGTAGGATGTGAGCGTAGCAGTCCTATGAGCTGTGGTACTGCTGCTGTCTCCATTTACACTTGAGGCAGCTAAGAGTTAGGGTGGGTGGGTGGGTAACCTGTTCAGGGTCGCACAGATAGGGAGGGAGTGGCAGAGCCAGGACGCAGGCCGTCCGGTCTGGTTCCAGTGTGCGCCTGACCCTGCACTGAATGTCTCTCAAGTTTGTGGAGCTCCTGCGATGGAAGATGTGGTCAGTCATTCAAAGCAGTAGCGCTTGATGTACCTCAAGGTGGGGCACGTTGTTAAATCCCTTCAGATCATCAGAGGAGAACATTTACCCTCAGAAATACAAGACGATAATAAACATAAATTGTAGTAGCAGTGACTCTAATTATTTAAACACAGAAGGGGAAAGAGAGTAGATCTTAAAAGTCCTTATCAGAAGAAAAAACCAATGTTGTCACTCTGTGAGGTGATGGATGTTAACTAGACTTATGGTGGCTACCATTTTGTCATATATGCAAATATTGAATCATATTATATACCTGAAACTAATATAAAGTTATATGTCAATTAGATCTCAATAAACTAATAATAGCATTTTTAAAAGAAGGTAAGCATAGTAGACAGACTTCAGCATAGTTGGGAAGCCAGCATAGTGGCAGACGGGCCGGCAGAGGCGGCCAGAGTCCTGGCGAGTGCAGGCCCTGCACCTGCATCAGCAGCACCCCGTACTCCTTCCGTTCTTTGCACAACGGTCCTGAGAAGAAGTAGACATGCAGTCATGTGAAGAGCTGATCCTCTTCCACACCCTTTAACACAAGCTCTCTCCTCACCACACCATTGCCCTCTAAGTGTCTGTAACACAGCCATCTTCCGCACAGACTTTGCTATGAAAACATAAGGCAACGTGTAGCATTCTTCCTTTCAACACATCTCAAATATTTTTGTATTCTTTCTTTTTCTAAGTTTAAAAACCCTCATTGAGAATCACCGGAGGCAAAAAGCACCAGAGATGGGGTCTCCGTCTGGAAAGTTGAAATGGTGACATCACTGCTGACGTGATTGATTGGCTAATAAAGAATTTATTTATCGTAATACCTCACAGACACTGTATCATATTCACAAACGTTTAGTAACCTGCCTGTGGCTGGTAAGATAATGTCATGATCCATCCTGTATTCGTGAGATTGAGTCTGACCTGTTAATGAGTAGTTGCAGAATGGTCTTATACTGTATCCTAATCAAAGGACTTCTTAATATATTAGCATAACACTTCTTTGGTAAGCAAATACCTTTTTATTTGAATTCACAGAGTGGAATTGTTTTGTTTCATGTCTCAGATTTCTTTTTTTAACACCCTACATTTTCTTTGTCTTTTTTAACTCATGCACATGTGCTCTTTGTACAATTTTAAAAGTAATAAAATCCAGCATATCAAAATTATTAGTTTTATTTTTCTTATTTTGCATTTGGCCAAAAGTGTGGGAATTACAAAAGGGAGACAAGGAGGAATTGTGAAAATGTATAATAGGTCACCAGACATTTGTATTATTTTTATCATGAATAGTATCTTTCTTAGCAGTGTGGTTCTAAAGGTGTCTGAACCCAACTATGAAATCATTGCTATCATCTTCCCTTTGTAATAACATAAAAATATTTTTTAAAAAGAGAATAAATGACACAGCTAGTTAGAGCCAGACCAAGCAACTGAGGCTCTCACTATGGAATGGGAGGTGAGACTTCTGGAATCATGTGGACGCGGGACCTGGAATCATGTGGACACGGGCACTACTCCATGTTTAACCTCTGCCTCAAACTATTTACCTAGTTTGAATTAAAGTAGACTACATTTTATTGTGAGCTGCTTCTTCTTCTTCTTCTTCTTCTTCTTCTTCTTCTTTTTTTTTTTACTTTCACTGCAGAATACTTTATTACAACACACAGCTCCAGCACAAGCCCCCTATGTACAATGTACAAGCACACACCGACTACCCTAACTGGGGGCCTTTCCTTTCCCCTGGCCTTGCGGACCTCTTCTAGCAAATATTTCTGATACTGGATCTCCTTGGCCAAGGAATTTGCCTTCTCTTTCCGAGCCTCGTTTTTCTTGTCTTGCTCTTCACACTCGTCAGGGAGGGCCTCCTGCTCCCCTTCCTGGTGGCACCTGGTGGCTGTTGTCTGGCTCTGCTCCATTTTTTCAGCTTTTTATCTAGTTTCTTACCCTTGACTTTTGCTGCTACCATCTTGTGTCCAGAAAGCTGTAGGGTTTGGGGTGGGCAGAGCCACAGAGGGTGCCTAGAGACAGCGGGAACGTACCTGCTTGGAGAGGCCCTGGAGGCAGAGGGACTATTGCTGGGGAGAGCCCAGATAGGACTCTGGGCTCAGAGATGCCCCTGTCATTGCCTGAGGTGACATCCTCCTCTTCTATGCATTGAGGGATGGTGGTAATAAAAAGAGTTGAGTCGGACTTCCTATCTCCTTCAGAAATATCCACTTGACTGCCCAACTCTAAACTAAAGGAATGATCCAGAATGGACAGGGACCCTGGAGAAGGGAAGAGGTTGCAGGAAGGTGAAGGGGGCAACCTGGTCAGTTTAGAGAAAACTTTCTGAAAGATGGCTAATTGGGTTCATTGTCTAGGGGTGAGGGGGACGCCTTACTAATCTCCTGGTCTAGGGGGTCACAGAGATCACATGTGTCACCCAATGTAGCCAAAGCCCATAGGGCATGTTTCGAGGTCATCTAAACAGGTCGTCAAAGTCAAACTCCTTGGGATCCAATGTCTCTGCCATCCAGTCTGTCCTGGAGAAGGCATCTTCCTTACACTGTCTGAGGCACTGACCAGCCCATCCACAGCCAGCCATGCAGAGGAACCCACTCTAGCCTGGTCGCTGGAGAACCCATGAGATTTGAAGTGCTTGGCCACCTCCAGATGGTCATCTAAGAGACCTTGGCTTTCTTCAGCCTCCAAACCCGACCGATTGCAGGGAGACATCAAGTCCATCTGTGCTTGTTCTAAGAATGGGCCAAACGACAGGAATGCCATGGGGGAGGCTCTCCAGGAGGCTGGAACCTAACCAGGAAGAGCTTCTTATGGTGGAGAAAGGGGTTAGGGAAAGTTCCAGGGGCCAGCTTTGGACTAAAACCTTAGGAACTCACTGGTATTCCCACGGCGAGAAGGCCCTGTCTCAGGGATGGACGCCTACACCATGCCCTGCCCTCGATGATGCCTGAACCGGTGTCCTTGCCATCACTTAAGCTGAGGAAGAGCTCTTGCTCAAACATGCTGGACTGACCCGTGGGGTACAGCCCATCGTCACAGGGAGCCAAGCCTCCCAGCACTTGGCTCTCAGAGCACAGACTGAGAAGAAGGAGGTGTCTGATTTGAATGTGCCGTGAAGTGAGACTGAAAGCCCGAAGCGTTGTTTTCAAGAATAGAGCCACACTTCCCCCAGGTCCGTGCAGACCGAGCCTGTGGGCCTGGACACCCCTCTGTACCGTGCATGGGTGGGGTGGGCACATTTGCTCTCTGTGTTCACAGTGCTGACCAGCCCTCTCCTACTTGACCCCAGTCACCCTTTTATCTGATGTGCATGTCTTCTATTAAGCTTTGCGCAGGTTGACTGAAGTATTTTTCTTTCTTTAGGGGGGCTTACAGGATTCCATATAGGACATTCAGGGATACGGTAGGGCCTTGCTATCGCTGTGCTCTCATGAAGGAGAAAGCTCATCACCCTTGCCCACATTCACGGTCTGTCCATGCTACGAGGTTCACAGACACAGTGTCACCCTGTCGACACTGAGAAAATGAAACCTGAAAGGTACAGGCTCAGTAAATCAAATACCGTGGAAAAGCCCAGATATTTGGTGAAATGTTAGGGATTATCCCAGTGCTGTTTGCTCTTTCCTCCAGAACAGCGTCGTGATGGCCTGAAGGGGCAGCATCTGAACAGTCCTGGGCATAAAATTTCCAGCTCGCATAGGGTAAGCCTTATTAACCTCCTGGTCTAGGAGTAATGGGAGTAAGCCTTGTATATAAAAAGTGGGGACCCCCACCCCACAGCCTGAGTGCATGTCTGATAACGACCGCCTGCTTGTGTCTGTAGATGGATACTTTCTTCACATTAGCTGTGGCCTTTTCAAAGTGGTTGTGGTTTAACTGCCCTTATTTTATCTTATAACACCCCAGCCACCACTGGTACAGACCCAACCAGTGGGGGCCGGTTTGAGTTGGAGCATTTTCCACGAATCAACCACATTTGCCGGAGCACGTAAACAAAGGAGGCCTGAGAACATGAAGCACCATCAGCTGCACCAGCACCCTCCCCCCCCAACGCTGGCTCCTCCACCACCACCTCCGCTCTCCTCCTCTCCGCCTCGCCTCCGGTGTCAGGGCAGCCCAGGTTGAGCTGGGGAAGGAAGTGGCCACGAAGCTTGAAGCCACAGGAGATACTGGCTAGCAGTGCCCCAGCTGTGAAATTAGCCACACAAAACACTCAGTGATTTTTAAGTTCCCTCTGCTTCTCCCTTCCCCCTTGCAGAAATAGTTTCAACTCTGTTAAGTCAGCGATCTTCAATCTTTCTCATCTCATGGCACACATAAAAGAATTGGTAATACTCTGCAGCACAACAAAAAATAGGTTTTTTGCTAATCTGACAAAAAGTAGTTATAATTTTGATTGATTTATAAAAACAATAATAAGAGTAATTACCTACCCTTTTTGCTCAAAGTAACTTTTAAAAAAATCAGGTTCATATACTTGTATATAAGGATTTCTAGTAGCAAGAATTAACCAATCACATGCAACCTTATTATGTGGTGTAATCGATAAGATGCAACTCTTTAATGACCTGTGTATTTACGGTTTAAGACAGGGCATTTACACCAGCAGGCTATGGTTGTGTTGGCTGTTGTCATTTTTTAATTTGACAGTTTAAGGGAAAAGAGGTCAGTGCCCCTGACTAAAATGTCAGGTATTTACTGCTCTAAAAATCCTTGTGGCACACTGGTTGCAAGTAGGGGGGTATTTGGCCTAATGAGGTTTGATCAAATCAATGAGAATCAAGCAGGAGCTCTAATTAAATTGCATCTTTCTTGTATCTGTTTGGTCTTATTTTGTTTCCCAATGGGAGCCTCTACTTGGTTTCTCAGGACCTAAAGCTGATTATAAACAAACAAAATCTTTTCAATTTTAAATGAGACATTGTTTTAATTCTAATATGTAAAAGCTTTTATTTTTAAAGGATTCATATAATCCGTGTTTTTTTTTTAACTCACCAACCATACATTGAACATTTTGTTTTATGCCTATGCCCATGGACATACACAGACACACGGATAAATGTGTTCATACTTGTTAGTATTATTAATAAGAAAAAGTGGCCAAAGGACCTGGGCCAATATTTCACAGAAGGAAAACGTAAATAAACTTCAAATATATGGAAAGATGCTTACCCTCACTCATAAGAGAAAAGCAAATTAAAGGCACGATGAGACTATTTTTCAGTTGTCATGTTAGCCAAGTCCTGGCATTAGACAGCACACTCTCGGCATTTACCTACATTGCAGTAGAAATGACCAATGCACACATTCAAAATGACATAAAACACTAATATTTATTTCAGCATTTTTTAGTAATAATAGCCAACAGTCTATCACGGAGAGCTGATTTTATAAAGGAAATACGCAGCTAGGTGGCCCTATGTCCTGACATAAGAGCTCTAGGATGTATAAGTAAGAAACGTGCCGAATAATATGTATTGTGTACTCCCTTTGTGTGTGAAGGGAGGAAATTAGAATGTATATAAACATGCATATGTGTTTATACATGTGCATTGATTGCATAATAAAGACAAGGATGCACGAGAAACAAAAATGTGGTCTGCAAGACAGTGTGTTTTACAGGTGCTGTGATGTTGGAACCACATGGAGGTATTGCCTAACAATTTTAGGTACCTGTCCAGGTTGCAGCACGTTGTCCTGTGGAAGGGGCTGTGACGGCTCCCGGCTGCCTCAGAGCTGAGACAGCAGCGCTGGAGCTCAGGACCTGTTTCAGTCACCTGCTGGCCTCAAGCCGGCTACACGTTAGAATTACTAAAGGTTTTATTCAAGTCCGGCACCTGGCCTGTGATGCAGTCTGGGTCTCAGTGATCTTTTACAAATATTTTTAATTGATTTCAGAGAGGAAGGGAGAGGGAGCGAGAGAGAGAAACATCAGTGATGAGAGGGAATCATTGGTCTGCTGCCTCCTGCACACCCTACTGGGGATCGAGCCTACAACCCGGGCATGTGCCCTGACTGAGAATCCAACCGTGGCCTCCTGCTTCACACAGGTCGATGCTCAACCACTGAGCCACGCTGGCCTCGGTGATTTTTAAAGGCTTCAAGAGGGCAGCCGCTGACATAATGGGCGAAACAGCAGATTTTCAGTCAGATGGACCTGGAATCATGGGGACGTGGGCACTACTCCATGTTTAACCTCTGGCATAGTAGCCTCTCTACAGTTTTCCCATCAGCGCAGCATGACACCTGCGCTGCGGTACAGTGAGAGCATTAGACGGAGCAGGCACACTGCTGAGCAGAATTCCTGACGCTCACTAAGTTGCAGGTACTTGCTGTTATTCAAACAAAACAGAAGAAAGTGAACAAAAAACAGCCTAACAGAACCCGCCAGAGACCATGCATTTACCCAATAAGTTTTCATGGCTAACGACGCGTTGAGTTTCTAGCTTTTTGTATTGTATTGTATTATGTGGGTATAGTATCTCTGACTATCTCTTATTATTCAGAATTTCTAATTGGCAATTATATAGGACTTTGATTAATGTAAAGGGAAAATCGAGTATTACATCATTGTGGCTTGCTTGATTGACAGAAAACCTTCACAAAAATCTATGAGTTTATGGAGAAAAGAATCTAAAGCAGTGAAGAGACTTCATAATTGGAAAAGTTTTGAGAATTGTTGCCTTGGTGTTTCCCTTCTTTTATGGCTGAGAAGTGTATGGAGTACTCTAGCTCTATAAAAACTATTGGGCCGTGAGTGCTTTTATGTGGAATTGCAGAAATCTTTGCCTCAGTTTCTCATTGCACACCTGTGGATGCCACCTGTTGTCCTGGTATTTATTTCACCCAACCAAGTGCCATGAACCCTAATCACAGATGTCTGATTGGTGTGTGTGAGGTCAGCATATAAAAATCTTCCCAACATGAGAAAATTTGTGTGGCATGTTGGCCTATAGCCCGCTAACTGTATGAACAGCATAGGAGTAAGGAGAGAAAGCATAGACAGGTAAAGAGGTAGTTCTCTTCATTAGCTCTTCGTCTAATAAGGAAGGAAATTTTCCTGTCTTCATTGAAACTGAAATTAACCCGTTTCTACTCTAGTAGCAATTAATGTAGATGTAAGAGCAGAGCTCCGGTAACCAGGCTTCCTGGGTTCAAATCCAAGCTCTGCCTGTCATTAGCTAACTATGGGGACATTCTTTATCCCCTCTTTGCCTCAGTTTCCCAATCTGTAGAACAGGGATAATTGTACTTGTTTCATAGGGTTCTTGTGTGAATTAAATGTTAACACATACTTAGGTATTAAGCACTGTGCAAACGTTTGCTATTATTACTACATTAGGATATTAATCATTGAATTTGTAAATATGCTAGAAATGTGAAATTATTTAAATTGAACATTTTCTCATAAAGATGGGTAAACTTAGGCAATATGACATGGTCTAAGCCTGGCCAGTGTGGCTCAGTGGTTGAGCGTCGACCTATAAAACAGGTGGTTGTAGTTCGATTTCCAGTCAGGGCACATGCCCAGATTGTGAGCTTGATCCCTAGTAGGGGACATGCAGGAGGTAGCCGGTCAATGTTTCTCTCTCATTATTGATGTTTATATCTCTCCCTTCCTCTCTGAAATCAATAAAAATATATTTTTAAAAGAGAATAAAGGACACAGCTAGTTAGAGCCAGACCAAGTAACTGAGGCTCTAACTATGGAGTGGGAGGTGAGACTTCTGGCCCAGTGTTCCTCCCACCACACCGTGTGGCAGTCTTGCTGTGATGGAAAAGTCCTGGACCAAAAAGGAAGTGCACCCACCTCTGACCTCAGAAATGCCCATGGACATACAGAGGCTTCTACACGGTGATTCTGAGGATCTCGGGACCCAGAGAGCACCATCGGAGGTCCTGCTCTGCCTGGGACTCTCAGTTCACTTCATTAACACCCCAAAAGAGTAGCTGCAAATCTGGGACACATAAAATAAGGCAGGATTTCCATCCTGTTAATCAAGGGAGTGATTATGGTTCTCCCAGGAGAAAATGTAGGTGCACCTGCAAGTCCTTAAGAAAATTCTCCCTGGCTCCTTGGAGGATGTGTGTAGTAAAGAAGCAGTGCATGTTTGTTTTGTTTCTCCCAGTTGAAAGGAGGTGAAGGGGAGGCCACATGATACTAGGTCACAAAATACGGCTCTGAGTGTAGAGAGATCTGGCTTCAAATGACCGTTACTTACAAAATGGTGACCAGGAGCAGATAACAATCTCTCCAGTCTGTAAACGTGGACTGTACCCACCTCCAAAGGCTCTGAGAGGATTCATGGGATTGCCTGGTTTGTAGTAGAAACTCACTGAGGTACTATTCCATCCACATCTAATCTCTCCACAGGGAAATAAGATTAGAGATGACTGTCAGGGTGTGTGTGTGTGTGTGTGTGTGTGTGTGTGTGATCTATTATTTCTAAAGTAGAGCTACTAATAGCTGCTAATGCTATTGAGGACTTACATGTACCAAAAATTATTAACCCAACTAATTCACACAAATCGAGTAGACCAGGCACCGTAACTGCATTCTACAAATGAGAAAATTATGGCACATAGAGTTCAAAGAGCTTGTCTGAGGACACAGATAGCAATGCTAGACCCAGGATTCAAACCCAGGCACTTAGGGTTCAGAGTCGACGTGCTTCACCCCTCCCTCACACTGCCTCTCCAATGCCAGGGCAGTTCTCACAGGGTGATTGTGAGGGTCAGGAAGCTTGATGTTTGAGAAACACTAGTATAGATCTGAGCACACAGTGCAAGTCATGGCAGGTGCAGTGTCGCCATTGGAAAATCCCAAACCAAACCTTTGAAAGAGGAGGTGACCTTTGAAAGAGGAGGTGACCTTTGAAAGAGGAGGAAGCTGGGCACCTTCATTTGGCACTGGCTCCCCTAGGAACCAGTGCCCCAGAGAAAGCATCAGAACGACCGTCTCAGGGAACGAACTAGAAATGTTGTGTGGACCATCACGCCAACACTGCATTCGACACCTCATTTGTCATGTCTTCCTTATCTTGGACTTCCAATTAGATTCATCAAAGTAGAGTACATAGACAAGAGTAGACTTTTGATTTTAAAAAAATTTATTGTCTTATTATGAAAAACAAAATACAGAATTCAAGTAGCAAATATGGCATCTTCCGGGTGAGTAAAATGGAAAGTTCAGGGCAGTTATCTGGTGCAAAAGCCCTAAGGAGTGTGACTAGAGGCTGCGTGCTGTCTGTACTCAGAAGGCGTGATTATTAGGCTTGGCTAGAGGAGCTGATGGGGATTATGGGAAGATGGTGCTAAAGGGTACCCTTTGGCCCTGCCCCTGAGTAATGGCAGAATTTGTTATTGTTACACAGTGGAATTTTCTGTTGGCCAGTGGTTTGAAAACCATTATGCAAAAATGACATAATAGAAAAAGGCACATGTGAACTGAAATCATCCAAACCCAGAAAGAAAGTCCAGCTAGATCCTCAGCAGACAGGTTCAGAGGCAAAAAAAAGAAAAAAAGAACAATAAGGAAGAGAACATTGATTCTTTTGTGCCATTATCTGTTATGAACTCTTTCCATGGCCACAGGCTGCTGTTCTCCGAACCAGACAGAAGGAAATGACGGCAAAGTAGGCCAGGCTCTTGAGGAGGAGGAGCAGGTAGGTGTAGTAGGCAGAGGTATTGATGAGCTGCAGCTGAAGCATATCTAGGAGAAGTCAATTTATTAGTTTCACCTGTTGTTTTGAAAGGGTAGGAAATATTAATGGGAGGGGTCACACTTATTTACTCCTTATGATCTTCATTAAAGTGACACCCTCACACCACCAACCCCCCAAATAAGCAAACATCTACCACCTCTACCAACAAGACAATGTAGAATCCAGCTTGCAGGCCAAGTCAACCAACAACCTCTGCTAAATTCACTTAGAGCGCTCCAAAATATTAAAAACTAAGGTTGCATTTTTAATGAGTGAGTCCACTGAGAAGAAAATATTTGTGGTAAGTAGCTTTTAGCATCTCTTCACCCCCACCATGTCTCTAATTAATAATAGCCAATATTTATTAACCACTAAACAAACGCTAAACACTGAGAGCTTTGTATGCAAAGCATTAATCTTATATATTTTTACAGCAACCTATGAGGTTATTATTTTAATTCCTGCTTTACAAAAAATTGGGGAGAGATAAGTAATTTGCCTGATGTCATGCATTTAATAAGTACCAGAAGATGGATTTCAATCCCAGCAACATGAATTTACAGATCACATTCTTAATTACTCTGCAATTCTGCATCTCCAAGTACAATAAATAATACCCCAGATATCAAAGGGTTAAGCATGAGTATAAAGTTGAGTTGCTGATTTAGAAGTATCTGAGGCATTACATGTGCATGCAATATGATACTTACCAAGGATACAATCCATGGAAATTTGGTGGTGTTCACAACGGGGTGGGTGCGAGGTTTTAGTAGAGGGCATTATGTTAACTGGAAGAAAGTGGTTAATCCAAATTCTCTGCAACTTTAAGAGGTGATGGCTCACCTGTCTTTCCTGAATGTCTCTCATTGGGGCTATGATACTACAGGGTAATTGCACTTAATATCCTTTGAAGTTTTGCAAAAAATATATGATGTCAAGATATGATTGACAACCAGTGATGGAGAGCCAGACTGCTACTCAATGAACCACAAGGCCACGTCCTTTCCTATGGAAATTTCCCTTTGACATGCTTTATCTTCACAGCATCAGCATTCCAGAATTATTAGCACTTGGTGTGGAAAGGGGCCTCAAGAGGTGATGTGCTCAGAACTCCTGCCCTTGGTCAGAGAAGGTATTAGTTGAGGTCCAGAGCCCCCTTGATATTAGAAATGGAGGAGAGATCAGCAGGACTAGAGCTAGTGCTTCTAGTTGCTTTCTTTGTGCATTTGTGGGGAGAAAGGGCCAGAAACCAGTACATATTCTAAGCCAGCTAACTGATATACCTTATGCTAGACATTCCACATATGTGACCTTATCTCTTTAAGAACTGAGTTAGGTGTAAGTATTCCTGGTTGGCAGATGAGTAAAGTGTTAGTACCCATATTCATGCAACTAATTATTAAAAGAGTTGGGGTTGAAGCCCAGTCTCTTGTACTCAGAAGCCCATGCACTGCCCCCCAGCCCCGCCCTAGCCATGCATCCATTGTCCTGGGGCAGTGGTCGGCAAACTGCGGCTCTTTGGCCCCTTGAGTGTGGCTCTTCCACAAAATACCGACTCTTCCACAAAATACTGACTTCTGCGCATGGGCCTCGAAGTTTCAATCGCACTGTACCACACGCCCGCATGTGGTATTTTGTGGAAGACCAACACTCAAGGGTCCAAAGAGCCGCATGTGGCTCGCGAGCCCTGGTTTGCCGACCACGGTGACCTGGGGTCTTGGCTTTCGGCTTTCTTATTCAGTGACTTGACTCATAAAGGAAGAATAGAGAACTGAGGAAGTTTATGAACTCTTGACTCCGGTGCCCTGGGCTGACAGCCCAGGTCTAGCTGTGTGGCACAGTGTACGGGACTTAATTTTAGCTCTCTCTCTCTGTAAAATGGTGGAAAATATAGTTACCACTTCACAGGAGTATTATGATAATGGAACAAGGAAATGCATTCAAAACACAACACTACGCCTTCTGTATAAGAACTGCCCAGTAAATGTCAGTTCATGCTATTAACTACTAGCACGGACCAAAGATAAAAATCTAGAAGCATATTGATAGTATGTGTTCCCTAGTCAATAGAAACAAAAGTCATGCAGATGAATAAAATCCAGTATTGAAATAATTCTGAGCAGATCACCACACCCCACAGTCATCTAATACCAAAATATAGCATTTACTGTGTTAAGATAGCTAATAGGAAATGATGGATTTGCTTAAAATACCATTCAGTCTATTCTGCAAATTCCAGCCATTCTGATTTTTCTACCTTAAGCCAGAGAAGTTCAAAATTTAAGTTGATCAGAAGGGAAAAAATGCTACAGCATGACATGAAGGCAAACATGCAAGAACTTACCGCTTTTGTCTTCCAGATAAACTTCTCTTATATGATTAGTAGCAGCCTCTACAAGAAATGAGAGCACTATTAATGAATTGTTCATAACCATTATTTGACTATGTGTCTGGATAGACAGATATATAGGTAATAGATAGATAGATAGATAGATAGATAGATAGATAGATAGATGATAGATAGATAGAATCTACCAATAGAAAAGAGAGAGCCATTAAAAATATGAGCCCCACAATTCCAGGAATAGTTGCCCAGACTGTGTAATTCAGTAGACCTAATACATATACTGTGTTTCTGCACGTGAAGATGTTGAAGGTCATGAAGGGTACATTTTAACTTTTTAATCCTGTCTGGAGGCCACTATCCAAGACTACCTGTTTTCCTCCTGCACTCATTGCTCCTAGTACAGTGCCCGCCGCAAAGTAACTATGCAATAAATACTTGTTGAATGGGAAAACGATGAACAGAAAAAGGAGCTGCTCCGCAGTCTTCAGCACACACTGCTGACATGAACAGTTGCTACTCAGAGAGATTTGCTTAATTGTAAAACCCACAACAGAATCTTACATGTTTGAAGGAGTCTGGTTTAGACAAATTTTCCATCGAAGCCATGCCTTTCCAAATCATGCATTTCCCCAATATCCCCAGCTCACCCACATCATTTTCTGCAGTTGTGTTTGTGGACATGACAACAGTATTAATAAAAGCTAATGTCTACGAAGTGATTATTCCTGTGCGAGGCTGTGTGGCGCAGTGCACGTCAAATGCTTCACATGCATTATAAGACTGGAGTGAGTTGTATTTTGGAGGGCCCCATGTCACAGACGAGGAGTGGGGTTTAGGGAGTATTAGTGACTTGTTGAGAGGCACGCCAGTGACTGGGAGAGCCAGCATTCAGAGGACTGTTGTGGGAGATTAAATGGGAGAGAACATGTGGAAAGTACTCTGTAAAAATAATCCATAGAAACAGGAAATAATCTATAGAGAAACAACATACTTCCACCATTGTAGACACTAAAACGTCTCTTCCAGATGTCGTAGTTATGCTTAGCAAATGACCTTTTCACCTCAGGAGCTTGGCATTTCAGGGCAATTCTTTTCAGATAAACCAAGTCACACTTATAGTTATTTGAATATATAAAACCTGAGGTGAGAGTTGTGTTTATCTACAATGTTTTGGTTTTTTAAAGGCATATATATATACAAGGACAAAATTTCTTTAAAAGAGCATTGACCGTTGGGTGGAGGAAAATAGTCGCAATGGTTGCTTTGGCTTATCCTTTTTCTACTAGATATGTTCTTGTCCATACGGATGTGGTTCTGGTATGCAATTTTATGCACTAAATGAGGTCTTTTTTTTTGCTGTGCTCTAAAAAAAAAATTGGGTCTGAGGTATAGACTTTGGGGCAAATCGCAGGATTGAAAATGTTAGTATAATCACATGTAGATGTTAAAATGTCCCCCAAGGACTCACTTTACTGTGTCTTAAAAGTCTTTTTATTTTCCTTGCAGTGACTTTATTCATTAAGAGATAAATAAAAATCTCTTAGCACCATGCACTGATTGAGGTAAAAACAATAAAGTAACTATTTTTCATCATGAAATCCGTGTGTGTATCCTAATTCTCTTTCCTAATCTGGCAGAAAACTTGGACTAGATTAGAAAACTTGGACTAGAGAGAAAACTTTCTCTCTCTTCAAAATCACTTCATTGATTTGTGCTTCCATGTTATATTTTCAGAACAAAAAACGACAAACAAAAAACTTCCGAGAAACAGCATTAGAAATTTGCCATAGAATGACATGAACAGAAACACCCTCGTTAGCTTTGTTGCCATGAGACGCCCAAGGGAGACATTTGTTTCAGAAATTAGACGCCAAGTAAAACACCTCGTAACCAAAACCTTCTCTCCTTTACGATAGTCAACCCTGATCACTGGAAAAATCAAAACCTAATAGGACATTTAAGCCCAGTGATTGTATTAAACTTGTGCTTTGCCTGTTTGCTTTCTTTCTGTTTCTTAGCCACAGAAATAGGAAAATTAGGGCTGTTTTGGCAATCTGACCCTAGTTCTAGGAAAGGATATAAATACACATACATGAATAAATACATTCGTGTTATATTTTTGAGAGCAAGCATTTCACAGACATTATTTCACTTGTCCTTCATCACAGCCTCAGAAGGAAGCCACGGCAAGTGTTCGAACCTGACTTGGTCTCTGGGGAAACTCAGGTGTAAGATAAAGACTGGTACACAGCAAAGGTCTTAGCACATCTGACGTTCTCATTTCCCACTGCTTAGAAAGGGCTTGTTAGCCACAGGGTAAAGATCCAACTGGTTCCTTCTTACGGGACCTTGGTCTGTTGTGTTAATACTCAAGACTTGAAGTTCTGAGTCTAGGGCAGTGATGGCGAACCTATGACACGCGTATCAGAGGTGACACGCGAATTCATTTTTTTGGTTGATTTTTCTTTGTTAAATGGCATTTAAATATATAAAATAAATATTAAAAATATAAGTCTTTGTTTTACTATGGTTGCAAATATCAAAAAATTTCTATATGTGACACGGCACCAGAGTTAAGTTAGGGTTTTTCAAAATGCTGACATGCCGAGCTCAAAAGGTTCGCCATCACTGGTCTAGGGAGTTATGGGACCATGGCCGGGGCTGGGGCACATTCGGCCCTGCTCACACTGTCTAAATATGAACAGCATCTGCATCAAAGGCACTCCTTTGGGACATCATGCCTGAATCCCAGTTGACCCTGAATGTTTAGGAAAAGACTACGTTCTCTTCACTTCGTGTATCCTCCTGGGAACAGTGATTTGTCCTAGTATATTCATCCATACCCTTCCAGGCCTGACACACGCTAGTACTGCACTACATGTTTGTTGAGCAGCAATACCAGTGGCAAGAAATATACTCATTATGTAGAATGGAAATATGTTTCTAGGCACTAGCCTCACCAAAATTGACCTGCAAAGGTACATAAAATATGAATCTGGAAAACCTAGGACCATAATAACACTGCAGGGCTAAATTATTCTATTTTTCGGTGAACCTTGATCCAACTCCCTCAGAATGACACCATCAGTCGCCCAAGATTCATTGTTCATGGGTTATACTTCAAGGATAGCAAGACTCAGGCATGAGTGACTTTGCTTGCTGAGCAGAAAATTCCTGAAAGATGTATGATTATTCTTATTTCCTGACCAAGTAAGATAATCAAAAGTGGAATCTCTTTTTGAGCATTTCTTGTGCGCTAAATTGCTGGTGCTGTCATGTGGGTTGTTTCATCAACAACCCTAAAAAAAAATCATGTGACTTTAATTTTAGATGATAAAACTGAGGCTGAGAAAAGTAAAATTTGTATTTCTTTATCTTTTTTATGTCCTAAAACCTATACTATTTTCAATTCTATGGGAAAACAGCAGGACAGTTATACTACTATTAAATGTAGCAACATTTGAGGAAGATATATGTATATATAATTATAATTATTATTAGTACATGACAGACACATGGGGCATTCCCTTTGGGGGCAAAAAAGTGTTCTGGGAAGATTACACACACACACACACACACACACACACACACACACACACACACACCCATACCTTTCTTTATTGCAGGAAAAAGAATCTCTTGATCCACTTTATTATGCTCATGTTTGACGATACATTTGTGTTCTTTATTCATTGACTCTTCACTCACGGTCAGCCAGCTGAATTTCATGTATGTGTCATCAGTCTTCATGGTATTTCCCTGCTGAGATTCCAGAACTGTATTGCCATTTTTTTCCTTCCAGTACACCTTGATAACATCAGGGAAAAATTTCTCAAGAAGACAAATATGTGTTCCAGCCTTATGAAGGCTTATTTCAGCAGCTGAAGGTTGAAAAATAGTGGGCTTGGGGTAATACCCTGGACCATAGCTTCTATCTGTGGGGAAAATGGAACAGCAATGAAGAATTAGAGACACACAAACATTGTGTGGTTTGGAACAACCTAGCATACGGTAAAAGGAAGGAAAGCTGCCACTGAGTCAGTGCTTACAATGGCCTTTCATCCACAATGTAGTGTGTGCCACTTATTATTGTTCTTATTTTCAGATGTGAAAAGAGGTTTCATAACTCGCCCAACGTCACAGCGATTCACTGGCACAGCCTGAATGAAAACTTGGCCCGTGTTCCTTCTCCGTGTCCTAAAATGGGGGATGACCTTTAACCGCTCCAACATTTGTGAACTTAGTTTTAATCTCCCTCATGCTATCATAGGCGGAGGATGGATGACGGGGATAGGGGGATAGGGGAAGAGATAATCTCTCTTCAGATGAGAATCCTTAGTGGCTTCTAAAGTGCAAATAAACAACAACCAACATAGACACAGACAACACTGTGGTGACTGCCCGAGGGCAAGCGGGTAGGGGATATAGAAGAAGGTGCAGGGAGGATAAATGGTGATGGAAGGGGACTTGCCTGGTGGTGAATGCCTGATGTAATATACAGATGATGTGTTATAGAATTGTACACTTGAAACCTGTATAATTTTATTAACCAATGTCACCCCAATAAGTTCAATAAAAATTAAAAATATAAAAAATAAAAAATAAAGTACTTTCCTATCCCATGCTATGACTTTTGTAATTTAAGCTCTTTTTGGTCACACGGTCTCCTGCTCTGTAACTCTGTGGGAAGTCACTCTCTATTAACTGATTCTGAAATATACCAAATTATCTTATTTTCATAAAAATAAATGCCAGGAGGAAGTTTTTCTTTTCTTTCTAGACAATACACAGTCACTTGTTTTAATGGGAATCTACCACCAGATGTACTTCCTTTATCCAGTTATTCTTTTACCTTCCAATATGGACCTCATGCCCAGTTCTGAAGTAATTGAGTTCTCCTAATAGGTTTCACATCTGAACCACTCCAGATTTCTAGGGCAGTATTGAAAACCGCACCTCCAAATTGTTTATGATGCCTTGAATTTAGAAGCAAAATAGCAATAATTCCAAAATTTCTATTAAAATTTCATTGATTATGTTCAGAAACACTTATCTTAATCTAGCGAGTAAATGTCCTTAACAGAATTTCATTTCGCCTTTGAAAAGGTTCACCAAAAGCACATTTTATTTTGGAATTTCATTTGAAGTCTAAACATGACTATTACACCATATTTTAAATACACCATATTTTGACTCTGAGTGTCTCCCATGAAATTTGTATTTGCCCTATAAGGCTGCTGAGCTATTTTAGAGATCCATCATTTTCTTTGTTTGCATCTGCTGAATAAAATTTATATACAAATGGGATAATGTTAAAAGCGATGGTTCTAGAGTTTCTTGAAGATATAATGTCAGACTATATAACAAAACATCATATATTTACAAAGGCATGATGGAATGTTACTAGATTACATATTTATTATTAATCTAATGATTGAAATTATAAACGTTAAAACCCTTTCCAATTTTATTTCTGATTAAAACACAAATTCCTTACTGTATTCTCTTTGGGCTAGCTTGGAGTTAGTTTAATAAGTCATGGGCAATTTTTTAAGAAAAATTAATTGGATTTCTCATTTGAGAAGAAAAGGAAAAAAATTCTTAAGACTTTCTAACTGTGAAGCAAAGCTCCCGATTTTTATACTAAATCAGTAAGCAAACAATGTTGGGTTTTTAAATCATGTTGTAAACATAAGTCATAATGTGCTTATAATTATTTTAATTTTATATATCTTACTTTTAGTGCAATAATATTTTATTGATTATAATAGTAAGACATTCTATATTTCTCCAACTGTATATTTTATTTTTAACTTAAAAACCATCCTATATAAAATAATATTAATTTTTCAATTTTACAATATATTTACATAATTTTAATCTCTAGTCAATATATTAAAGAATCTAATTTTCATCTTAGAAACTTTTTTCTTCATAGTAATACTTCTGATTCATTATATTAAAGAAATTGAAAATCAAATGATAAACTTGAAATGCTTTTGTGTGGAAACACACTATTTTTATTGCCTGTCCCTTTTACTTAGCTAGATTCTTTGCATCATTCTTTTCAAGATAAAATGAATCTTGAACTTCCATATCTTTCTTAATGTAATACTTAACTATTATATTGTGTACTTGATTATATATGGTTAGTACCTATATGTTGGATAATTGTATTACATGTTTTTTCTTTAAACATTCTTTGTAAAACTTAAGTTTTTTATGGTCAAAATCTTGTTCATGATTTATATAAAAGAAATCAGTTCAAAAAATAAAGAAGGCCACCCCCCCAAAAAAAAGAAGAAAAAACAATATCTAGCTGAAATAACATTTTTAAAAAATGAGAGTTCACTTATATTATTTTATCAGCAATAATAGAAATAAAAATGCAAAAGATCACCCAGAAAAATCTGTAATAATAAAAGTGTAATATACTAATTAGACTGGATGACATTCTGGATGAAGCCGGGGCTACAAGGGAAGCCCAGGTCCCTGGTCCAGAGGGAAGCCGGTGCCGGCAGCCGGGGAGGAAGGAACACCTACTCTTGCACGAATTTTGTGCATCGGGCCTCTAGTAAATAAATAAATAAGCCTTCCAATGCAGTTATGTAGTTATAATCAAATAATATGTCTGAGTTAAATTGCCTGAGTTGTTTATATTTATTAAGATGCAGCAATACTATGCAAATTTACCAAATTCTATGTAAATGTCAACTATATTTTCAATTGAAAGTATGGTATTTCAAACCTACATTGATATTAAATGTTCTCTATTTTTTCTTGTCATTCTTTTTATTTTATCAAATACATAGTTATAGCTATTTTATGGTTATATCTGTATTCCAAACTTATGAAGTTTCTAACTATATTTAATTGACTTTACATATTGACCATTTTCTGTATGCATTTAAACTCTTTTGATAAATATGAAGTTGAAACTTTTTGTCTATAAATTTTAGGGCCAATAAATGTTGGTATTAGTAATAATATCAATTAAGATAAAGGGTTAAGATTTAAAGCACATAGGTCAGTAATAAAAATTAAAAACAAACACACGTTAATCTCATTTTTCTTGCCACGTGATGGTAAAGAATACCTCCAAATTAATTTTTTTATAAGTAGTTAGAAACACAGCTTAATTCTCTGAGGAATTTATGCTCTGTCAATATTACTGCTGCAAACAATTCTTCATACTGGATACAATTTTCCTTTACATTTGAACTGGGGGACACCTATTCAGCACCTATTATATGTTAGACAATGTGCAAGTACTTCATTCACACCATCTCAATCGATTCTCATACAAATCCTCTATATATACTTATCCCACTTTATGAGTTAAAAAACTGAGGCCAGAGTCATTGCCTAAGTTCATATAAGCAGTAAGTGATGGAGCCGGAGCTCCATGTCATCCTGACCCCAACGCCCAGACTCTTCCACAACACCCTTCCACCATCAGACAAGGAAATGTGTCCACTCACAAAACTGACCTATAATAATAAACTTTATCCTGGGGCCAAGCACTTCCATGATAATTGCATACATTATGCATGAGTCTTTTGTGCAAGTCCACATGTACACCAAAGCCAAGTCTTGTTACGATATTTGCACAATGTTGTCTGTGCATGCCTTTGAGGACTTGTTTTACAATCTCTAAGATTTCTGCATCTAATCCCCATCACATTGCTGTTCTTTCTAAATAGTCTTAGTGTTATTCCAATTTCATTGTTTCTTGCCTCCCTCTAGTACCTTGAAAAATTGCATTGATACCTACCTGTGACGGTAAGTTTTGTTCCATCACCGAAGAGTTTTCTATCATAATTCCACAGTGATTCAACCACTATCAAAAACTTTAGACTAATTTAGCTTCTCTGAGTTTTTCAAACACTAGTGGAACTAGGACGGCCTGCAACTCAAGAGATCAGTGTTCTGGTCCGGGTTCATTTTGCTCATACAAGGTCTGTGGCTGAGCAAACAAAGTCAATTCAAGTTTCTGATGCTTTATTGATCTGAAAACAATGATGCTAGTGCCAGTCAGTTTGATATCACTGCTAGTGTCAAAGTGAGACCAAAATGAAATAAGATTTGAAAAGCAATTGATTTAAAATGCTATGGAAATAAGCAATTATAATAATTATTAGCCATTTGATTGTGATGACTTTGTGCTGTAACCTGACTTTTTAATCTCATGGGACCAAACCTTGGACCTACTAATAGGAATTCAGCACTTTGAGGTGGAAGCTAAATCCCTGGCAATGCAACCCACTTTGCTCTAATATGTCTGGAATTCTCAAAACCATCATCATCAAAAGTGTGCCTTACACACGCTTAATTAACGAACTAATTTGTCTAGTCTTATCTGCATTTTCAGTGTTAAGAAAATCAAAGGGAACATTAGCTAAAGCCTAATAATATGAGGTCAGTATGGGAGCTGCTTCACTTGTGTTGTTCAAAACAAATGGCTCTTTCCCCAGTTAACAAACAGCACTACTAGCATTCCACGCTTTCACCAGACATTTCAGCCTCAAATTGCCATCTTTCCAGCTCCTGCTGCAAGTTCAGCTTAAAGCTCCTGGCAGTGGGCCTTCAAGAGAAATGACAGGACCACAAGAGAAATGACAGGATGGCTGTCTCAAAGCCTCCTACTGTCATGTTAGGTCACTGGAAGGTCACCCGCCTGACCGTATCTGCTGAGGGTCACATCTGTGAATAACAGCAACTGCTCTAATGCCCATGGCATTGTCACGGTGGTAGTGTCAAAGGGGTGTGCTTAAAGACCATTTATTCCATTTTACAAAATTAATGTCCGAGACAATATTCACTTTTACTTCACTTTCCTCCTACGGGTCTCATATATTGAAATCATTTCCTAATGTTATAGTGGGAAACACATATCATGTTTGAAAATTTGAAGTGCTTCATTTTATTAATTAGCAAAGTATGTACTCTATTACAGTTTTTTCTTTTTTAAAAAAAATCTCTTTTTTTAAAAATTGAGATATAACTGACATATCTCTCCTACCTTTGAGTATAAAATGTTACCCAGTGCTCTTGCTAGATAATTACAGGCCATTTTCTTCGGCCTTCTTGAATGATTTTGATCTTCTATTTTTATTTCCTGGTCTGACTGTAACTTTGGTTTCAGTTTTTTTCAAATAGATTTTGGAAATAGGCAGTTTAAGTAACTGACAAGTAGTTTGTGCATTATAGCTGGTTTCTTTTTCTGCCCGTGAGGTTGATAGTTTAATCTCTAACTCAGAGATGACATGAGAGATGAAAGAATATGTTTGTAAATTGTAGCTCTGTGATATAGTTGCAAAACATGTGGAATTCAAACAGACCAAAAGTGCCAGAACATAAGGTGAAGTTTTCTTTCCCAAAACTCTCTCAAAAAGAGCGTTCGCTCTGTATTTCAGTCCTTGTGAAACCTCTCAGATTAAAACATGATCTTCCAATACTCTGCCTCGATCAAAAATACTATTTAGACAAGATATCAAACTGAAATAAAGTAATTTTTAAAAATTTAAAATACTAGTTTTAGAGCTATCACTGGTTATAGACAACAAAGAACTTTAACAGGGATTTGGTAAATATTACTAGAGACTAAAGACTCTGTAGTTTATGCTTACATTGCACTTGTATAGATTAACAGAATAAATGAAAAAGTGCTTTTCTTTCATTTCGTAAATGGTAATTGTCTTTTCAGATTAAATTTCCAGTGACATCATACATCATATAGATATCCCAAAAGAGACACTCAGTAACTTAGAAAGTTGCTCTAAAATAAAGTAGATGGTTTAGATGCATAAGAAGCGTCTGAATAAAATTTTTAATGAAATGTAAGGGAAAAAAATCACCTGATATTTATATTGATATAAATATGTATTGATATCTCACACCGGATATGTATTTGTTTTGATATAATTTTTAACTTTGTAGCTATAGTCTAATTAAGACACTAAGTATTATAAGTGGATATTTGACTTTTCTCTATATGACTATAAATTTATACATGCAAGTAGCAAGCCCCTCCTCCTCTCTTACCTCTAGACATTTCTACTGGAAAATGAGAAATCACCTTATATTTAGGTTAATAGTATTTGAGATAATGGTTATTATATTCTAATCATTTTTTTTTTCAAGCAGGTAACAATTAGAAATTCACAGTATTTTCAAATACTGACCATTTAAAAAAATGATCTCTAGACTAGATAATATACTTATCTGTACTCCTGATTTCATGATGAGCTCTAACGGGTGGAAATCTGAATTCTGGAGAATTCACATTTTTATCACTGACCATGTGGTAGGTTATTTCCATATTTAATTTTATTTAACTCTCACAACAGCCATTTGAAATGCATATATAGAATGAATAGATGGAAATATATAAAAATGGTAAGTGATGTTTCAACATTAAATTTTATTTTATTTTAAAATATTTTATAATTTTGAAAATTTTAAATTACAGTTGACATACAATATTATATTAGCTTCAATTATAAACATAGGGATTAGACATGTATATAACTTTATAAAGTAATCTCCCTGATAAATGTAATAATCACCTGATAACATGCATTGTTATTACAGTATTACTAGCTATATTCCTTATGCTTACTGTACATCCCCCTGAAAACCTGTAGATAACTTTTATTAAAAATTTATGTGAGCCAAACAGAGGATACACCTGGGAGCAAGATCTCAGCAGACAGAAAAAATGCTTTCTTTTTATTCCTTATTTTATTGTATTTTCCATAGTATATACTATGATTGTAAATTTAATAAAGTAATAACCACTGAATCAAAATTTATTTGTTAAAGGATATTTATATAGAAAGTGATAGACCCAGAATCAAAGTCTATAATTTCCCCTGCCCCACACTCTCCTAAAAAGCACTTTTCAGAACTCTCATGAATTATATCTGTCGTCATTATTTAATTTATTGCTATAATTTACATTGAGTATGGAGTAATTTTGAAAAAAAAAAGAGGACCAGAAAGTTGATTTTTCAATTTATGAATTCATTTGTTCATCTGATCACAACCACTAAGAAAACCAAAATATATAATTTATTTATTTTTTCAATGCTTTATCAACTTTGCAAAAAATTTTTCAAAACCTTCATTTGAATGGATCTGGCAGGCTAGAACAATTCTTGGGAAATGCATTCAGGCAGGGTTTCATTTGTAAGGCTACTGATGAATGAACAAATTTATTGGACTGAATTTAGAAAAAGCAAATCCAGTTTATGGCCTTCTTGCATACGATCACACAGTCAAATATTTTGATATTAATCATCCTCTGGCCAAATGACAAATGTAGCATTTTTTCCTTTAGTTATTTTTGGTTTCAAATAAATAGATTATATAAACTTCTTTAAAAATCTTTCAACATAAAAATACCAAGTGGACCTAACATCTCCACCCCTTAGGGACCCTCACTAGTTAACTCCTTATTACTGTCCTCCATGCTAGGTCAGGGGACAACTGCCGCCAAACACCTGGATGAAGTCATTAAGCTCTCTGGAGATCACCCTGATATGCGACCAAACGGGGACTGCATCCAACAGTTCTGAGCCCGCACCAGCACCTGCACTACCTGCTATTTGTGGCTGAAAGACTGCACCTTTGAACTTATTACACTTACAGTTGCCAGGGCACGGGCCACACTTTCTGTGCTGCTTATCAGAGGATCCTGTTCGGCTTGGCATTGCTGTAGCTGTCCCATCATGAGTGGAAAGGCGGCTCTGAATTATGCAATTTAGTGCAACTGCGTTAGTTCTTTTACTGGCTACACTATTTCTAGGAAACTTGATGCCAATACAGAAAGAAAATTGAGTGGAATGGTGTCAAAATGACTTGTCATTTTGTAGAAAGAATCATATTTTAAGTATTTAATTAATGCCTATTCAACATGACTTACTTACTTGATCTTTCTGGAGGGAGAGAGGGGTGCCGTAATTAGAAGCAGAAGCATTGTTTTCACGCAAGAATAGTAATTCAAATTATGAGCTGTTGCTAATAACTAGTCAATTAAAGAGTCCATTTAAAAGGTCAGACTATAGAAGAGTAAATATTCAGACTACAAAACATCACTTAATGTTTCCAGTATCACATAATGGTCCAGACCATGCACTTTGGAATAGACAGATCTCTGTTGGACTCTAAACTTTGCCATAGTAACTAGCCACATGACTTGAGGCAAATAACTGAACTACCCTAAGCCTCAGCTTCCTTATCTATGAAATGGGAATAAGAAGATCTCCTGTCCAGAACTACTGGGGAATGAGATAGGGCACTGAAATTATTAGCATGGTGTCTGGCCCTCAATAAAAATATTAGCTGATATCATTCTCTTTAATGGGATGGCCTGATCCATGTTATCAAATTCTTCCACTGAACAAAATGCATGTATTTTATAAGTGATAACTCTTACATAAATGATGGAAGCAACTCATGAATCCAAGACCATCTTCCTCTGTGGTAGCCACAGGCCAAAGAACAGGCAGCCCAATCGAGCCGGAATCTAGCACACTTAGCTACTAGACTGGGAGCTTTGTGAGTGTTGGACAGATGTCTTTTTCATTGTTTTATCTCCAGCATTCAGCACAGATACTCTCTTCTATAAATGTTCGTTGAGACAATGAACGAACAAATGAGGGTGGAAAACCGTGCAAACTTTTTTCATAGACTTTGGAGCTGCAATGACATACTGAGCTTATAATTCATTAAACTGGTCCATCTCTAGGCAATATAACAAGACTGGTGGTAGCATAAATTGTGATGCTCTCACTCATTCACTGTAAGAATTAAGTTTTTGCACTGTGATTAGGTATAAAAACCCATTGGTTTATCAGATTATTTAGAGAACGGTACAATATGTTTCATCTCAACATAGAGAAGAGATAATTAATAAAAGTGTCTCTCAATAAAAAAACAAAACAACCTTCTACAAGAGAAGTATCTTAAACCAATAATTTATACCAATAGTTTACAGACATGGGACTCAAAATATTTTAATTTCTAGCCTCAGTCTACCCTTTTTTGTGTGTATGTGTTTTCTTAAAATAGAATTTCAATCTGCTTACAAGCAGGGAAGTAATAAACTATTTATGAAGTAGTTCTGTTCTCATATACAGTGATCAGTAGCTGCAAAATTGCTGTTCATGTGCTGAGGCTAAGAATGAGGCAGTCAGATTGAGATGATCCTAAACTGTTTTATCTAAGCAGCATCTACCAGTTTTTCAAAAATAGAGAAGAGTACTTACCACTGGGAATTACTACGAGTTGAGTCCCTTCTGCAAATATCTTGATCCAGCCTGAGCTAACACACTGGTTACAGCTCCTACAAAAATCTCGCCGTACTCTTAAGCTTCATGATGTGGCCAGCATTGAAAAAAAAAAAAAAAAGGCGATTTGATCTTTAAGAGTTCCTTTGGAAGTCCTTAAATACTAGTTTAGGTTTTGTGGCATCTGTAAGTTTCCTCAGTTGAATTGAGCCAGATGTCTATTTTCCATCAAGGCACAAATCACTGAGAAGGACTGAGAGTAAATGAAAGAATAAGAGCAGGAAAAGGAGAGATCAAGTTCACCTGGTCGGCCAACTACTTTTCTAAATTACCAGGAAAGCTGTTCAGAGAATTCAAGGGTTCTTATTTCCAGGTGTTCAATCGTGTGGAGCTGCTCGGAGGTTATATCAAAGGAAGGCCGTTCCCTCTGCTCTCACAGGCGCCGGAGCTGCCCCTTCAGCAGTTGCGAATGTGTCTCTGGAAGGAGGAAAGGCTTCAATCACTGAAAAGGCAAATCCACCAACACAAATACACTTGAGAAATGTGAACAAAATTCTCCTTTTTTAGTAAAGCCACTTTTATTGTTTGACAGTGTGATTCTTCACCAGGCAATGGAGAGTAAGAAATGAATTTCTGTGATGACGTTACTTTTCCTGGAGTAAAAGAATAAACTTATAGAATTCTAGCTCCTATGAAATAGGTTTCTTATTTAAACTAACATGTAAGAACAAAATCTAGCCCTGGCTGGTTTGGCTCAGTGGATAGAACGTCGGCCTGCAGACTGAAGGGTCCTGGGTTCGATTCTGGTCAAGGACACCTACTTCGGTTGTAGGCTCAATCCCAGGCAACCAATCAATGTGTCTCTCTCCCAACGATGTTTCTCTTTCTGTGTCTCTCCCTCTCCCCTTCCGCTCTCTAAAAATCAGTGGAAAAATATCCCCCTCAGATGAGGATTAACAAACAAACAAACAAATCTAGTTCAGTGATATGTTGAAAGAAGAACCCTCTTAGGAGTTGTTCTGTACTCTTATACCACTTGCCTTGGATCAGGGAAAAGAAATTGTCAGAAGCAGCTGAGTGCTTCTCTGAGTACAGCTGAGTTGTCCATCCGCCCGGACCCACAGAGGACATGTCCTGTGCATGTCGGGTCCAGGTCGGGGCCCAAGTCCCATGAGCAAACACTATCTCTGCCCCTGAAAATGAAACAATGAGGTGGGCAACTGTCCATTCACAGTACCCAACAAAATGGGAGAGGGTCAACAATAAAACAACAACAAAAAAAGAAAATTATGTTGTAAAGTGTGGGGTTTTTTAAAATATATATATTTTATTGATATTTTACAGAGAGGAATGGAGAGGGATAGAGTTAGAAACATCGATGAGAAAGAAACATCAATCAGCTGCCTCCTGCACACTCCCCACTGGGGATGTGCCTGCAACCAAGGTACATGCCCCTGACAGAAATCAAACCTGGGACCCTTCAGTCCTCAGGCTGAAGCTCCATCCACTGAGCCAAACCGGTTAGGCAAGTGTGTTTTTTTTAACTGAGTGTTCCAAGTTGTTATAACCGAGAGCGGTCAAATACCTTTCGCACCAGTTGTAGACGTAAATGATACCCACTCAGTTCCTTTCTAATAGCTTGTCCTCTTTTTTCCCTTATTCCAACACCATGAGCAAAATTATGTGGAGCTTTAGTAGTTGTCTATATTTCATGATCCATGAAGAATTTATGAGTAAATACAAAAGAGTAAGTAAAGAGTTACAAAATCTTTTATTAAATTTACAGGAAAATATGAGAACTATATGAAGAAAACAGTAAAAGATTTTACTAAAGGGCATAAAATAAAACCTGAATAAATGATAGATACACCATATTCATGGAGATACAACTCAATGTCATAGATATGCTAATCCTTCTTAAATCCATTTACATAAATTGGCTGCATTTGCAATCAGAATTATGACATTTTATTTTATTTTTTTAATATATTTTATTTATTTCTAGCCCAAAGTGGTTTGGCTCAGTGAATATATTTTATTGATTTTTTTTTTTTTTTTTTTTTTTTTTTTACAGAGAGGAAGGGAGAGGAATAGAGAGTTAGAAACATTGATGAGAGAGAAACATCGATCAGCTGCCTCCTGCACATTCCCTACTGAGGATGTGCCTGCAACCAAGGTACATGCCCTTGACCGGAATCAAACCTGGGACCCTTCAGTCTGCAGGCTGATGCTCTATCTACTGAGCCAAACCAGTTAGGACACAACATTTTATTTTTTGTTCTATGGTGTAAGGTTGGGTGTGGGCAAGATAACTTAGTTTAAATGTTAATATTAAGAATAAATAAGAGATAGTTGAAAAATAATATCTTGAAAAATATTAGTGAATCAACATTTGGCATTAGATCTTAACACTTATTACAAAGCTACTGGTATAATAATCCTATCTAATAAAAGAGAAACATGCAAATTGACCATACCCCCGAACGCTTCCCATTGGCTAATCAGGGTGATATGCAAATTAACTGCCAACCAAGATGGCAGCCGGCAGCCAGGCAGCTGAAGCTAACAGGAGGCTTGCTTGCTCCAGTGATGGAGGAAGCCAAGGTTTCCCGCCTCCCGCTGCCGGCCTCTGAGCTGCAGTCTAAGCAACTATGTTGCAATTATAGAAGCTAAACAAGCTCCAGATAGCTGCTTTCAGCCAGCCGGCCTCGGAGCTTAGAGCGGCAGTGATGGCAACAGTGTTTCAATTATAGAACCCAAACAAACCCAGATGCCTGCTTTCAGCAGCCGAGGCCTCAAGCTGGAGCCAGCCTCAGAGCTAAAGCCGGCTCTCAGTTCCAGTGACAGCCATAGAAAGTAAATAAATCCCAGAATAAAAAAAAAAAAAAAAAAAAAAAAAAAAAAAAAAAAAAACAGAAAAAAAGGAGAGGTTGGGAGCTTCAGTTGCCCGCCAGCCTGAAAACGGCCCTCAGCCCCTCACCCAGATGGGACAGGCATCCCAGCGGGGACCCCCACCCTGATCCGGGACACCCTTCAGGGCAAACCAGTTGGCCCCCACCCGTGCACCAGGCCTCTATCCTATATAGTAAAAGGGTAATATGCAAACTGACCCTAACAGCAGAAGGACTGGGAATGAATGGTCACCATGACACACACTGACCACCAGGGGGCAGACGCTCGATGCCGGAGCTGCCCTCTGGTGGTCAGTGTGCTCTCACACGGGAGGAGCTCTGCTCAGCCACAAGTCAGGCTGATGGTGCCAGGACAGCGGTGGTGGTGGGAGCCTCTCCTGCCTCCTCAGCAGTGCTAAGGATGTCCAACTGCAGTTTAGGCCTGCTCCCCGCTGGCAAGTGGACATCCCCCGAGGGCTACCGGGCTGCCAGAGGGATGTCTCATTGCCATCTTAGGCCCAAACCCCAGGGGAGCAGGCCTAAACCAGCAGGTGGTCATCCCCTGAGGGGTCCCAGACTGTGAGAGGGCACAGGCCAGGCTGAGGGACCCCCCCTGCCCCCCGAGTGCACAAATTTTTGTGCACTGGGCCTCTAGTGGTGTAATAATAATGAAACAAAATAAAACAGAAATCCTCCAGGAAATCCTCCAAATATATGTCAATATGAATATATGATATGGAATTTTAAAATTGAACGGATATGATTGATTATTTAAAAATTGACTTCACTACTAATGATCTGCTGTGAAAGTAAAAATAGCTCTCTACCTCATAAAATAGGTTCCAATTATATTATGTAATATGTATTTATTGATTTACTTTGTTGTTGACACCATTACAGATGTTCCCATCCCCCTCCCTTACCCACCTCTATCCAAACCCCTCTCCACTTCCCTTTAGCTCTCACCACACTATTGTCTGTGTCTATGGGATATGCATATATGTTCTTTGGCTAATTCATTCCCTTTCTTTCATTCAGTTCCCCTCCTCCCCCACACCTACTGAGAGCTATCAGTCTGTTCCATGTATCCATGCCTCTGTTTCTATTTTGTTCATTGGTTTATTTTGTTATCAGATACCATATATAAGTGAGATCATGTGTCTTCCTCTGACTGGCTCATTTCACTTAGGATAATACTGTCTCCAGGTCCATCCATGATGTCGCAAGAGGGAAGATTTTCTTCATTTTTATGGGTTGCCTAGTATTCCACTGTGTAAATGTGCCATGGCTTTTTTTTTTTTTTATCCACTCATCGGTGACAGACATTTGGGCTGCTTCCAGATCTTGGCTATTGTAAATACCATTGCAATGAACATAGGGCTGTATAAATACTTTCAAACTGGCGTGTTGGTATTCTTAGGATACATTGCCAGAAGTGGGACCACTGTGTCAAAAAGGAGTTCCATTGTTTAAAATTTTGAGAAAACTCCGTATGGTTTTCCACAGTGGAAAACCAATCTGCATTCCCTGCAACACTACATGAGGGTTCCCTTTTCTCCACACCCTCGCCAGCATTTGTTGTTTGTTGGTTTATTAATGGTAGCCATTCTGGCAGGTGTGAGGTGATATCTCATTGTGGTATTAATTTGCATCTCTCTGATGATTAGTGACATTGAGCATTTTTTCATATGTCTATTGGCTGTATGTTCTCTTTGGAGAAGTGTGTATTCTTATCCTTTGTGCATTTTTTTAAATGGACTCTTTGTCTTCCTTGTGTTCAGTTGCATACATTCTTTATTTTGGAAATTAACACCTTATCAGATGTCTCATTAGCAAATATGTTCTCTCATACAGTGGTTTCCATTTTCATTTTGTTGATGGTTTTTTTTTGCTGTGCAGAAGATTCTTAGTTTGTTGTACTTCTATTTTTTTATTTTTCCTATGTTTCCCTTGCCATAGGAAATATATTGGCAAAAATATTGCTACAAGAGATGTCTGAGATTTTACTGCCTGTTTTCTTCTAGGAGTTTTTTTGTTGTCTCATTTCTTACATTTAAGTGTTTTATTCAGTTTGTTTTTATTTTTGTGTGTGGTGTAAATTGGTGGTCTAGTTTCACTTTTTGCATGTACCTATTTAACTTTCCCAACACCATTTATTGAAGAAATTGTGCTCCATTGTTTGCTCTTGCCTTCTTTGTCAAATATTGACAATAAAGCATGGGATTATTTCTGAGCTCTCTGTTCTGTTCCATTGGTGCATATGCTTGTTCTTATGCCAGTACCAGGCTGTTTTGATTACAAAGACGTTATAGTATAGTTGGGTGCCAGGTATTGTGATCCCTTAAACTTTGCTCTTCTTTCACAAGATTGCTGCCTGGCTAGTGTGCTCAGGATTGAGTATCGATCCTATGACCAGAAGTTCACTGTTCAGTTCCCAGTCAGGACATATGCCCCCGTTGCAGGCTCGATCCTCAGTTGAGGGGTGTGCAGGAAGCAGCCAATCAATGGTTCCCTCTCATCATTGATATTTCTGTCTCTCTCTTCCCTTCCCTTCCTCTCTGAAATCAATAAAAATATGTTTCAAAAGATTACTGAGGCTATTCAGTCTTTTTTTGTTTCATGTAAATTTTTGGGATATTTATACTATATCTGTGAAATATGCCATTGGTATTTTAATAGGAATTGCATTGAATCTATATATTGCTTTGAGTAGTATGGACATTTTAATGTTAATTCTTCCAGTCCATGAACATGGTATATGCTTCCACTTATTTGTATCTTTCTCAATTTCTTTCTTCAATGTCCTATAGTTTTCCAAGTACAGTTCTTTTACCTCGTTGGTTAAATTTATTCCAAGTACCTTATTTTTTGCTATTGCAATAGTAAATGAAATTGTTATCTTAGTTTCTCTTTTTGATCATTCACTGTTGGTGTATAAACATGCCACCGATTTCTGGATTTGATTTTGTATCCTGCTACTTTGCCAAATTCATTTATTACATATAATAGTTTTTTGGTGGAGTCTTTAGGGTTTTCTATGTACAGTATCATATCAGCTGTGAATAATGACAGTTTTACTTTTTCCTTTCAAATGTTAATACCTTTTATTTTCTCTTCTTATCTGATTGTTGTGGTTAGTATTTCCAGTACTATGTTGAATAAGAATGGTGAAAGTGGATATTCTTTTCTTGTTTCTGATCTTAAAGGAAACACTTTTAGTTTTTGCCCATTTAGTTTTGCCCATATTGGCTGTAGGTTTTTCAGATATGGCCTTTATTATGTTGAGTTATGATACCTCCATTCCCACTTTGCTGAGAGTTTTCATCATAAATGGGCGATGGATTTTATAAAATGCTTTTTCTGCATCTATTGATATGATTATGTAATTGTTATCTTTCATTTTTTTAAATATGATGTTTCAAAGATGATGACCATAAGCCACTAAGAGGAATCCAAGAACCTATCTATATATATAAAACCCTAATATGCAAATAGACCAAACAGTGGAACAACCGAACAACCAAACAACCGGTCGCTATGAGGTGCACTGACCACCAGGGGGCATGCATGGAACATGGAGGGTGTCGGCAGCAGGCGGCAGAGCACGGAACATGGTGGAGCAGGTAAGCAGGGGCACCAGACCAAGGCGGGGCACTGATTGCTGTCATCGGGGTGAGCCTCTGGTGGTTACTGAAGCCTCTGGTGGCCTTTGCTCCCATGTGCCGTGGTCTCTCCAGGTGCTTGCACCTGCTACCGGTGTTGGCCCTGCCCACACCTGCTGCTGGTGCCTGGCACTGGCCCTGATCACTCAGCACCATCAACGGGTGAAAGCAGCAGCTGCCGGCCTGATCACCCCGAGGGCTTCTCCACCTCACCCTGCTCCTGAGGGGTGATTGGGGCAGCAGCTGCCACTCCCACCCACTGACAGCACTGGCCCTGCTCGCACCTACTGCTGGTGCCAGCCCCAATTGCTCTGTGCCACCAGCATGTGGGAGCAGGGCTGCTGGCAGACAGGGGACCAGGGGCTGCAGCGAGAGGGGCCAGGCGGAGGCATGGAGGATGGGTCAAGACCCGCCCCTGTGCCCACCACAGCCTCCTGGCCCACAGTTCCCTTCAAGGTGCACGAATTCGTGCACTGGACCCCTAGTGTTATTATAGTGACAGTGGGGATGGACAAAAGGGTTGATGCAATTAATAGTAATAGGTTTATTAGAGTTGCAAAAGGATTCACATGAGATATATCAAATACCTTTAAGGAAGTTGAAAGTGAAGAAAAAGACATCAGAAAGAACAGGTACAAATTACAGATCTTCCACTTTTGGTGATGTGTCCCTAGGCCCTTCTTAGAGCCTCAGTGTCCTCATCTTTAAAATGGAGATGATAATTTCAATTTCTCAAAACTTTTGAATAATGTTTTTAAAATAGGTGAGACAAAAGGTCAACCACAGGAATTCACTTTCTAAGAAAGTATGGAAACACTTTAGTCTTGTGAACAAAAATCAGTACTTTTGGCTTCTAACTCTCTTTTATGTAATACACATATACACATGCACACATACACAACTCGCCATATTTTGAGGTGACTAGATGAGGTAACTAAAATTCTACTTCAAAAACAGTAAGGAATAAATAAATATATAAATAATAAGCAAGTCAAGTGAAGTAAACCAAAGTTTCAATGGAATTACTTGAAGTTTTACATCATTGTTTTAGATTTGATGATAATATAAAAGACACTATGAACAACTATATGCTGGTTACTCTACATGTGTAAGCTAAGAAAGAAAAGGAGTTTCTAAACTTGCATTAAGTTAGAGAGGAAAGAGTGGGAGTTCTCTGCATTGGATCTAAGAGTTTTGGTTGGGCACCCTGTCTGGGCAGCCCAATCTAGTCTCAGGGGGTGTCCCATGGGGTTGGTTGGGTTTGTGATTTACTTTCTGGCCAATGAAACCACAGTTCCCAGGGTCACCTGTGTCTTTTTTCCCCCCTCAGATCTCATAGTATGGAAACGCCTAAAGAATACACAGGTTTCCTCATTTATTTTTCTCTCGTTACCAGAGGAAGCAAAATATGTGGAAAAATCAAGAAAACACCAGCTGTTTGACAAAATATCCTTGCCAATGTGTTCATTGACACAATATACCTTTGTCCTTTACTGAGACAGTAAAGTTTGGGGAGAAAAAATAATACAAAATGTGGGAATTGGGGTAAGGGAGTGAAATTGGAATCAATAATTTTGTTCTGGATACTTAGACATCCGAGGAGAAAGGTTTTCAGCTGTAATGTAATAGCATAGATTGTTGTTACTACCGTTGCTCTTATTATTTTCAAAGTGTGGCTGGTAAGACCTTGGACACGAAAATGTCCTGCGTCACTCTAACAATGAGGAAAATAGGTCAGGGCTATCACATTAGGAACCAAGTGCATGACCATGAACTTAGGATAGGTATCAGGCATCAGAGTGAAAAGCAGGGAATTTGAACCTTGGTTCAACAGGTTGTTCTGTAAGTGGTGAAGATTTACAAATACATGAATGAAAAACCAAGCTCCACTTCCCACATACCCATATATTTGATGTGTATGCCAGGGAAACTTTCTAATTATTGGGAATTTCAGAGCTAACAGGAAACTACAGAAGTAAAGGAGAGTAAGTTGCCATGGAAGAAAAGCATGGAGATAGAGGGAGCTTGGAGTCTACCCCCTGCTGACATTATCCCTTCCAGACAGTGTGAAGACACACACTTTGCCTACATATCAGACCTTACCATGGTCTGGGGATGTCACTTACGAAGACATGGTTAAAGCTTCCTTTGGAAAGGAATACAATTTTGCTAAAAGAAGTTCAACACTGACCATAAGAGAGGCAGGAAAGGCCCTAGACCCGTGGTCGGCAAACTGCGGCTCGCGAGCCACATGTGGCTCTTTGGCCCCTTGAGTGTGGCTCTTCCTAAGCCTTAGGAGGACCCTAATTAAGTTAATAACAATGTACCTACCTATATAGTTTAGGTTTAAAAACCTTGGCTCTCAAAAGAAATTTCAATCGTTGTACTGTTGATATTTGGCTCTGTTGACTAATGAGTTTGCCGACCACTGCCCTAGACCGAACATATGAAATGCAAGTGGAGCCCTGGCTCTGTGGTTAGCTAGTGTTGGACAAGTTGCTTGCCCTCTCTGAGCCAGCCCCAGCTTCTTCAGCTCACGTGGGCTTTGTGCTGACTGTGTCCTGAGAGCCCCCCGCCGTCTCATTAATTTGTGAATTTACGAGTGAGAGCATGAAGCCTCAGTGTGTTGTGGTTACTCCAGTGTGACAGGAGTTGAGGGTTAGTAATAGATAAGGTTTTCTTACAGGTCCCTTGTGACTCTGTGACATTGTGAGATCCCAGCAGGCACAGTAGTAGATGGCTTCATCAGACTTGACGACATTATTGATGATCAGGTTAAAGGTTCCACCTTTCCTGTATGCCTCCAAGCGGGGATTGAGCTTGTTGTCCTTGCTATTCTTGGTTGAGCCATAAAGGATTCGCCTCAAGGGCTCCCCGTTTTTTTGTTGATACCAGTGCACAATTGCGTTCTCCAGGGGAACCCCAGACAGCTTGCAGCTTATGTGCACAGTTCTGTTTGGTCTTCGGATAAAGGAGAGTTGATCTTGAGATATTCTCATTTTGGTGTCTCCATCTGAAAAGCAAGGGAGAGAATTCAAAGCGCTTGGAAAAGTGGACTCCGGAGATAACAACAACGAAAAGATAAGAAAGGTGGAAAGTTAACCTACAAACCCAAGCCACAGACACAAGGAAAATCCACAGGGTTGCCATTGCCAGTCACTGGTCAGAATGGACACGCCGAGGGGTGTGAGTCAGGACTGTGGATGCAGTGACAACCCTTGCTCTGCTGAGGCAGGCCAGGGGGAGGGAGGTTTGCTTAAACCCATAAAAGTCCTTCTCGGTAAGATCTGTCACAGTGTCATTTTATCATGTTCCTGGTATAAGGGAACTATCTCTCCCGGAAGACCACATCACAACACCTGTTTTGTAGTAAGTCAGTGATAACTTCCTCTTGAGAGCAATTGCCTGCCATGTTTTCCTTAAAGTCTTGCTTCAAATACATCTATTCTTGAGCTCAGTTATAGATTTTCACCATATTTTGTGAGTGTGGATAGCTATGTGTGGCTAGCATGAGAATGGGAAAGAAATGATCACTACATTATAATAACTAAAGAGACAATATTCCCACAACTTCATGCAAAAATATGTACATTTTATAGATTGATAGTTTGCAGAAAGTTCACAAAGTTTGGTAAATATTAACAATTACCATAGGTATTACTTTAGATACTATGATATTACTATATTCTGCTGTGAATGAAGAAAGTTGTTGGAGGGAAACATATCCTCTGTTAGTTTCCTTTCACTCTTCTCCTATTCACAATTCTTAGCTTTTCAGAATTAAAGCTACACTTTGCTGTTTGGGAGACAATGTAAGATGTCATTTCTAATGAGTTCCTGAGATGGCTCAGTGAAGTGGTTTAGTGATAATGGGAACGACCATTGTGATTTGATGAACACAAAGTAAAACCTTCATGTATGAAAACTCAGTCAGTCCTCAGCAACCTTACGAGGTGTTAACACTATGCCTACTTAAAACTGGGAAAACAGAATGAACCTGATTCAGTAACTTTCCTGGATCATGCTGTCTGTAAGAACCTGAGCAGAAATTTGAAGCCAACGTGTATATGTCACTCAAAAGACCTTGTAACTTCCAGCGTTCATTCATTCATTCATTCATTCATTCATTGTCAACAAACCATGTTGAGCACTGGACTGTGGCTTCCCTTCTAGCAGGTTTCCTAGATGGTGAAGTAGAGACCATTCAGGTCACTTTAGAAATGCCAGCATAGGCCCCAGAGAGGTGAGGATAGATGATAGTGACATTACTGACAGAAGCATCACAAAATGGGTCTTTGGGCTCTAGCTCAGAACTTGCTCAGGACACAGAAAATCCTCAGTGAGCAGCTGTCAGGTGCCTCTGGGAGGTGGGAAGGAGGAGGTGTGTGTTTGTGTAGATGGGGCGGCATGGGGGTTTTTGTTCAGCGACAGTAGGCGTTTCTATACAGTGTGTTCAATCCAGCAGGCACAGTAATACAGCCCAGCATCTGCCTCCTCAACTCGGTGTATCCTGAGGCTCACCAGCAAATTACCGTGATGTTTTCTTGCCTCATATCTTTCCCCACTAACACCTTGTTCATGGATAACATTGTCATCTGAGGAAATAGACAGAATTCGTTTGAGTGCCTGGTCTCGCTTCTGTCGGTACCAATGTATATATGAATCCTTCGTTAAGATCTCTCTTATTTGGCATTCAAGAAATGCTGTACTTCCTTTTTTCTTGGTAATGGATGTGAGGGCTTGTGTTATTTGAATGTCTCCACTTGTGTCTGAAAGAAAAAAAAAAAGCAAACATTAGTAAGATTTTTTTGGCATTTATTAAAATAGTATACATTTGTTCTCTGTTAATGAAAATCTTGGGACCTGCAGTTTCTAGTTTTTTCCTGAAGAATTCAAGGTATGGTGGAATCTGTCAGCTTAGTTTGAATGACCGTGCGGCTTTCTTCCACCTGAGTGGGCTAGTTAGATTGTCCAGGCTTTTTTTTGCCTCCCATCGAATGAATAAGATACCCGCTGGGTAAAGTCACTCACACGTCCAAAGGCAGGCCGCCAGGGTGACCTGGCACAGGAGCAGCATACTGCCAGCACTGTTAGCTGCGGAGCTTGAATGATGGAATTATCACAGAGCCAACCCAAGGGCTGACTTACTAAGGGGAAGTGGCGCTCTGAACTCACAGCTAAGACCCATAAACCGCAGGAAAGGGGCTCGTGGTATTTCTCCGAAACGTCCTGTGGAAATCGGCCTGTTAATTGATTTAGCAGCAGATTGCTGCCATTACTGTGTGATAGTTACCATCTGATGACATCAGCATCAAGAAGCCACTTTTCTATTGTAGGACTAAAGTCCTTTATGGGCCCAAAGTGGAGAGGGGGAGAAGGAGTGAGGAAGGAAGAGGGGAGAGAGGTAGGAAAGGATATTTTTGTGGGGTGGTCAGTTTTTTCTTTTAATAGTTTAGAGTATTCACTCCAGTGTCTTCTTGCTTGCTTGCTTCTGACGGAAATCTGCTATTATTTTTCCTCCTCTGGCTGCCTTCCAGAGTTGTCTCTGTCTTTTCTTAGTCTCTATCACTAATTCTGGAAGCTTTCCCCCCATTATTTCTTCAAATATTTCTTTTTCTTCATTTCCTCTTTCTTCTGCTTCTGGGATTCTAGTTACAAATGTGTTTGACAACTGGGTATTGTCCACAGTTCTGCAGTTTCATGATTTATGACTATCTGCTCCATCTCTATCTCTACCTCATCTCCTTGCATTGCATTTTGGGGGATTTCTAGGGGCCTATCCTCCTGTCACCAAATTCTTTCCCAATCTCAGCTGAGTCTCCTGATGAGGACGGCCAAGGCATTCTTCCTTTCTGGTACTGTGCTTTTAATTTCTTGCATTTCCTTTGACCATTTGTTGTTGTTTTTTTAAATAATTTTTATCTCTCTGCTGAAATTGCCTATGTGATATTGCATGTTGTTTTACCCTTTCCATTAGAGCCATTGACATGTTAATCATACTGAATTCAAATTCCCTGTGTTAGTTAGTTAGTTAGTTAGTTAGTTAGTTAGTTAGTTCCAACATCTTTGTCCTGTCTCAGCCTGGTTCTGATGATTGCTTTGCGTCTTTGGACTATGTTTCTTCTTGCCTTTTGTATGGCTCTGAAATCTTTGGTTGAAAGATGAACATGTATGGTACAATAAATACTGAGGTAAATATATATTATGCACACCTTTCCTTCTGCTAGGCCTTTAGTGTGGGGATTTGTGTTATTCTAGTCGAGGAGTTATACTGGGTTGAAGTTTGTTAGGTTATCAGGATTGGAGTTTGCTGTTTTTAGGGTTCAGAGGTCTACAATGTGTCTGGTCATACTTTGTTTTTGTCTTCGAGTCTTCCCTTTGTTCTGCTCCCCAGAGGAAGTGTCTCTTGAAGCCCCCTTTGCTGCCTCCCAGTTACTTTTCTTCAAGGTCGCTAGCCTGCTGGCGAGAGGGGAGGGAAGCAGACGCCCTCTGACTCGGTGGGAAGCAGGTACAGTAAAACTGGGTCTTGACAATGTGGCTTTCACAAGTGTTCCTGCCCTTCTTCCAGAGGCAGCACAGTTTTTACCCCCGCTCCCCTCCCCCAGCCGCAGTGGGTCTCCATCCTCTTCTGGCTAAACGTGTTGAAGCTCATTCTTCTGCAGATGAAAACTTGTGACTTTGTGGAGTTGGGGCAGATGGTTCTGGGCAAAGTTTTGGCTGTACTGCCTCTAAAGCAATGGGATTCCACCAGTGCCTTCCCTGCAGATTGCCTTTGTTGTTGTTGCTTCTGTGTGTGTTTTTCTACAGTGGAGATGGAGTGGATTAGGCCTGGCTGGATTTCAGCAGTAGCTGTCCCCCTCCTGCAGCCAGCACCATGGGGGAGCTTTCTCCAGATGCTCCTTGATCTTCTTGGCAAGAATCTTGTAGGCTTCCTGGGGTAAAGGCTTAAAAGATAGTGGAGAATACCCTATACCCTATATTTGTGGTTCCCAAGTGTTCTCTCTCTCCCACTGGTCTATGCTCAGCTCTTGCTATTTGATTAATAATTCCAAGTTTGATCCTCGGACCAGCTTAATTGGTGTTTGACAACATCTGGCCGAGGTGAGCAAATACTCAGCTCCTGTGTCTCCAAATTTTCAGTAAGTCACTTGCCCTGCAACTGAGTTCTTTGAAGGTTTAAGCAAAGTCATTAACTTTCAGTAAGTCCCTTTTTTATGTTGTTGTAGGAGGGGAGCAATGTCATTTCCCCCTCTTTACATCTTTGAGCACATGCTGGTCCTCTCCCATTTTTTAAATGGCATCGCTTTTTAAATTGAGTTGTGAAAGTTCTTTGCACAGTTTGGACACCATTCATTTTTTTCAATATGTGCTTTGAGACTATTTTTTCCCCTAATCTGTGGCTTCCCTTTCCATTTTCTTAGTAGTTTTTTAAAAGAGCAGCACTCTTCATTTTGACGAAAGTGCAATTTGTCAAATGTTTCTTGTTTTTTTTTTTTTCTGTCTTAAGAAATCTTTGCCTAACCCGTGTCACAATGCGTTTCTCCTGTATTTCCATCTAGAAGTTTTATTGGTTTCAGTTTTACGTATAGTAGTGTAATCCATTTTGAGATAATTTTTATTTACGGTGTGTGCTATGGATTAAGTTTGTTGTTGTTTTTTACACAGATGAACAATTGTTCCAGTACTATTAGTTAAAAAGTGTGTCATTCTTGTATTTCGCTGGTACCTCTGTTAAAAACCAGTTAACCGCTATGGGTGGCCCTGTTTCTGGTTTGTCTTTTCTTGTGCTCCTCTCTATGTATCTGTTCTTTCACCAACACCCACTGTCTGATCATTGTAACTTAATAGCATGGCTATGATTTTAATCTTTTCAAAACTGTTTTAGCTATTCTACATCCTTTTTCTCCCCATATATATTTTACTACCAGCTTCTTGATTTCTACAAAAAGTCTTCCTAAGACTTTGATTGGAATTACATTAAATCTTTTTATCAATTTGGGGAAAGTTTGACATCTTAAATATATTCAGTCTTCCAATCCATGAACATGGCACATCTCGCCATTTATTGAGTAGTTCTTCAACTTTTGTCATCAAAGTTTTGAAGATTTCAGCATATAAATCCTTTATATTTTTGGTTAAATTAATCTCTAAATATTATATAGGTGTTGTTGCTCTTGTAAACAGTACTATTTTTTAAATTTCCAATTTTTAATAGTCAGTATAGCTGATTGTTGAAGAACACAGATTTGAACTTCATGGGTCCAATTATACCTGGATTTTTTCCAATAAATTCAGATGGCTCTCCATATCTGTGGGTTTTATATCAATAGAGTCAACCAATGGCTGGTCAAAACACCATATTTTAACCCGCGGTTGGAAGTTCATGGATGCAGAGGGCCGACTGACTGCATGCACTGTTCCTTTAAATAAGGAACTTGAGTTCCGCAGATTTTGGTATTTTGGTATTTGCAGGGGGTCTTGGAACCAGTAACCCATGGATACTGAGGGCTGACTGTAGTTTAATTTATGGAGCGTCAAAAGTTATTCACAGATTTTTGATTGTATAGGGGGTCAATGCCCCTAATTCCCATGTTGTTCAAGGGTTAACTTATATACAATTATAATTAATTTGCATCTCTCATTCTATTTTACAGCTGGATATACTCCATTATGCATGTGTCATCAATTTTTTTCAAACTATCTCCTATGTTTGTATATTTATGTAATTTCTAATATTTTGCAGTTACACAATGACTAACTTTATACATCTGTATTTTAATTTTGTTAAAAATTGTGTCTTCAGGGTAAATTTTGAAAGATTTTTTTTGCTAGGTGAAATGGTAAATGTATAACAATTTTTTAAAGATATTTCCAAATTCCACTACAAAAAGGTTATATTTTTCATTTTTACCAGCAATGTATAGTGGCGATTTTCTCCCATTGCTGAACCGACAGAGTATATTGACAAACTTTTAAATTCTTGCCAATCCTATGGGTGAGAAATTGTATTTCTATGCAGTATTCATTTGAATTTATCTTATTAGAAGTAAAGTTGGGTATCTTTTTATATGCTTAAGAAAGCTTTTTATATTGCTCTTAATGAATTGGCTTTTTATATCTTTTGCCGTTTTCCTATAAGATATTCTTAATGTTTTTTTTCTTTATCTTTATATCAGGCATAGTAGGCCTTTATCTGCTAAATAGGTTGCAGATATTCTCTATAGTTTGTGATTTGTCCTTTGGTTTAACTTCTGTTGCTTTCTACCATGCAAAATTTGCTTTCATTTTCCTGTAGTAAAAGTTATAATAGTTTCTCTTGTTGCACCTTGAATTTGAATTACAAATTGATTCCCTAAGCCCATGTTGCACAATAGAGGCTGGAGAATTTTTTCTGTAAGTGGTCAGATAAATATTTTTGGCTTTGTGAACTGTTAGGTCTACTCACCTCTGCCACTGTAGCTCAAAAGCAGTCTGTAAATGAGTAGGTGTGACTGTATTCCAGGAATGCCAAGACACATATTCTATTAGAAACTGTCCTTGAAGAAAGAGTTTATTTTTTTCCATTTATTTCTAATATTTCCAAAATATAAGAAAATATGTTATTTGTTTTATATTTTGCTATTGTTTTATATTTTGAAAGTCAAATCATCCTACATATTTATACTTATTGTAGGAAGAAAACACTTAAATTCAGACTCAGCTTTGAATAGTAGTTATTTGTTTCACTGATTATTTTGAGAAGGAGTTTGTTTTCTCCTTAACGCTAGAAACTAGGTTAGATGCCTACTGCCTGTGTGTCAGAGGCAGGATAGCACAGTGGCTGCAAGGACAGTCAATGAATCCAGAGAAGCCCAGCCCTCCGTCCCCACCCAGTAACTTGTGACCACAGACAAAGTAAATAGCATCTCTCTGCCTCCGTTTCCCCGTCTATAAAAAGTGAATCATGAGAGCATGTCAACAGATTGTCACAAACATGAGATGAATTAGGACAGTGCCCGGGAAAGAGCAGCAGCTCTGAAGGAATGACCCCTGTGGTCCTCACAGGATCCCAGCAGAATTCCCTGATGAGAATCCGCCTTTCTGTGTGATCACCTGATGCTGCCCAGGGGGAGCTGAGGCCTGTGCAAAGGGAGGTGTGCTGGTCCGGCTGTGACACGGCCCTTCAGTGTAAAATGAGTAATCTTCCTCGCCCTGGAGGAGAGAGGAAGAGCTCCACCCCACATTCACCCCCAAAATGTATGGAGTAAATAAACACTGAACATCTTCAGGATGGCCTGACAGAGGTGAGGCAGTGTGGGGCCCGGGGTTTTAAAAGTACTTTTATCTCTTAACCTTAAATTATTAAAAGTGGGGAAAGTGACCATGACATTGCAAACGTGTTGTGACGATTACCTGAGATGCAATATCACCAGCAGGCTTTCTGGCACTCACGGATTTGCTCTTGGCGTCTGAGCCACATTACGGGTAATCTCTGTGGTAAACACACACACACACACACACACACACACACACACACACACACACACACAGTACAAGACGCAGGTGCTGTGGGAAGGGAGGCTCAGGCTGGGGCCCAGCTGTGCAGCCTCTGTGGTTGCCCATTTTGAGAAGGATGTGGGTGGGCACAGACTGAAGATGGTTCTTGTGCAGATGATCCTGGCAAATCTAATGGGGTGTATGCCAGTCCAGCAGGCACAGAAGTACACGGCCTCATCTTCTTTTGCTAAGAAATTTATTCTCAAGGTGGAAGTAGAAGTGTAAAACTCTTTACTTGCCTCAAGTTTGTTGTTCTTCCCACCAGTAAGGGTTGTGGAGACAACATATATTAAATGTTCCATACTCTGATCTGGTTTCTGCCGGTACCAGTGAATGTAATCACTGCTAAAGGTGCCAGAGGACACCTTACAAGGTATCTGGGCGCTCTCACCCCTTGCCCTGGAAATGGATATTACAGGCTGCTCCAACTTTAACTGCCCAAGGCCAACTGCAAACAAAAACAAATTTCCATGAATAAGTGACATGTGAAGAGGTAACAGTAAAGAATTTCTTGGGTCTGTCTGGTAGACTGAAATGATGGGGACAACTCACAGGCCCAGAGGGAGAGGAAGATGACAGCTTCCAGTGGTGGCATCCTGTGCACCAAGCAGCTCCCAGGGAGAAGGTAAGACACTGAGGTCCCTGTTCGCAGACCAGTGGCAGGGGCGGGGCTGGTTCTGGTTTCTCAGAAGAAGTGGTGGCTCAGATGTTCCCGTGGTTCTTCATGAGCTGCTACAGATATGACCAGGTCTGGGGCTCCCCGTGTCCCATAAGAGCTGGGAGGACTGGGTAAGAGGGTTCATGATCTGGAAAGAAAATTGTGGGATAAATGTGTCCATCTTGGGGTTGGGCAGGGTTGGTTCTCGTACCCACTCAGCCGTTCCCCATAACAAAGCATATAGCCCAACCCCAGATGCATAGAAAATGCTCAGGCTGCAGTAGATGACTTCTGGGGTTCACATGAAGTAGAAATTACAGAGATTGACACAGTTTTGCAACCACACAGAAACATGATTTCTTTAATATGATCTTTTCTCCTTTCTCTCCTTTTGAGGAAAACTGGCCTCATCCTGCACCCTGACTCACCTGCCTCCTTCTCCCCTGCACAACTGCTCCCTTAACCATGAAGCCCTCAGGACCATGAGGCTGTGGTTGGCATCAAATCATCTTAGGAAACAGATCAGGTGTGTTGACTCCAGAGACAGAGTTTTGCTCAACTGACATCTGGACCAGATACACTGATTAACTATCCCCTAAGCCAGCGGTTCTCAACCTGTGGGTCGAACGACCCTTTCACAGGGGTCGCCTAAGACCATCAGAAAACACATATATAATTACATATTTTTTGTGTGATTAATCACTATTCTTTAATTATGTTCAATTTGTAACAATGAAAATATATCCTGCATATCAGATATTTACATTATGATTCATAACAGTAGCAAAATTACAGTTATGAAGTAGCAACGAAAATAATTTTATGGTTGGGGGTCACCACAACATGAGGAACTGTATTAAAGGGTTGCAGCATTAGGAAGGTTGAGAACCACTGCCCTAAGCTACCCTGGACCAATAAGTAGAGACCATGCCCTTGACCATGAACCTAACTCCGTTAGTCACCATGATTAGTGACTTTTCCCCCATATAGCCCATTCCCTGGAAACCATCAGGGACCCAGGCCTTTGAGCATTACCTCACCTGTGTCTCTGGGCATGGGCCACTTCTTAAAATAAACCCTTACTTTCTTTCCTGCAAACTCCTATTCATGTCTTCCTGGGCCCTGATGTCCAATAACATGTTGGGTTGTTACTCTCAGGGAGGGGCAGCCTTGGGGGGCTAGGAGCCCTTGCTCCGTGTCACCACCCTCTCTGCGAGTGCCCAGCACAGCTTTTAGCCTGCTCTGGGGAGTCTCAGCCTGGAGGAAGGGCCCTCCCTCCCCATCTGCTTCTTTTTGTAAAGTTATGCTCCCTCTGCACAGATTTGCTCTTTGTCTTAGGCATGAGAAGGTGTCCAGAGAGGTTATTTTAAAATATACAGTTTCTCAGTGCCTTCTGGTTTGAATGGATTTGAATTCAAATGGATTGGAAGGTTTCTCCCCTTAGAGCCAAGATTATATGAAGTTGGAGAGGGGAGGGGCTGCTCCACTGTGAGCTCTGGGTGCTGTGAGCAGGCTGGCTCTGCCTGCAAGTCAGGTGCAGAAGGTCTGCAACCCAAAATATAGGCCAGGGACCCACTCACCTCGGGGCCTCACACCTCTGGTCACAGTGGGGTGGAGGGCAAAGCACATGGGCCTCAGCTCAGCAACTCTGTCCTGTTTGGGCCTGGATGACAAGAAGGACAGTCCCCCACCCCATGCACCTATTTTGTGCTGAGGCGTTTCCCCTGTGGTTGTGGCAGAGAGTGGAGTTCCTGAGTGCGAGGTGGGGGCTGGGCAGAGTGGGAGGTCCTGCACGCAGTCCCCCTTTCCCCAAGCAGCCCCCCTCCACTCAATGTATTCACAGTGAACAAGACAATTAAGAATATTGGCTCCCTGCCTCGCCAGCGTAGCTCAGTGCTTGAGCATCAACCTATAAACAAGGAGGTCACGGTTTAATTCCTGATGAGGGCACATGCCCTGGCTGTGGGCTCAATGCCAGTGTAGGGCTTGCAGGAGGCAGCCAATCAATGATTCTCTCTCATGATTGATGTTTCTGGCTCTCTTTCTCCCCTTTCTCTCTGTAATCAATAATGGAAAAATAAGTACATTGGCTCCTTCAAAAAAAAAATTATTAAACACCTAAAGCCACAAACCCTACCTTCGGGCATATACAGTCTAGAGGAGGAGACAGAGGATAGTAAACTAACAAAAAGATGGAAGTGTCTGGTGTATTTCATGTTGGATGTTGGTTTGCACTCTGGAGGAAACGGATGCAGGGGAGAAGGAGGGGGAGCAGCAGCGTGGCCAGGGCCGGCCTCTCTGTGAGTGTCAGTGAGACCTAAAGAGCTGTCCCCATCATAGGACACTTGTTCTGTCAGTAGATACAGGAAGCCTCTATCCTTTGAGATTTCTGAAGTCAGCATGAGCTTTACACTTTCCAGCTAGGTTCCTGGTCCCAGCATCTGGTTACAAACAAAAAAGTACATGACAGGTGCTGTGGGGAGGGAGACTCAGGCTGGGGCCCAGCTGTGCAGCCTCTGTGGTTGCCCATATTGAGAAGGATGTGGGTGGGCACAGACTGAAGATGGTTCTTGTGTTGCTGATCCTGGCATCTCTAACGCTGTGTATGCCAGTCCAGCAGGCACAGAAGTACACGGCCTCATCTTCTTTTTCTAAGAAATTTATTCTCAAGGTGGAGGTGGAAGTGTGAAAATCTTTACTTGCCTCAAGTTTGTTGTTCTTCCCACCAGTAAGGGTTGTGGAGACAACATATATTAAATGTTCCATACTCTGATCTGGTTTCTGCCGGTACCAGTGAATGTAATCACTGCTAAAGGTGCCAGAGGACACCTTACAAGGTATCTGGGCACTCTTATAGATTGCCCTGGAAATGGATATTTCAGGCTGCTCCAACTTTAACTGCCCAAGGCCAACTGCAAGCAAAAATTAAAACAAATTCCATGAACAAATGACATGTAAAGAGGTAACAGTAAAGAATTTCTTGTGTCTGTCTTATAGACTGAAATGATGGGGACAACTCACAGGCCCAGAGGGAGAGGAAGATGACAGCTTCCAGTGGTGGCATCCTGTGCACCAAGCAGCTCCCAGGGAGAAGGTTAGACACTGAGGTCCCTGTTAGCAGACCAGTGGCAGGGGGCGGGGCTGGTTCTGGTTTCTCAGAAGAAGTGGTGGCTCAGCTGTTCCCGTGGTTCTTCATGAGCTGCTACAGATATGACCAGTTCTGGGCCTCCCTGTGCCCCATCAGTGCAGGGAGGACTGGGTAAGGGGGTTCATGATCTGGAAATAAAATATTCTGGGATAAATGTGTCTGTCTTGGGGTTGGGCGGGGATGTTTCTCACAGCCACTCAGCTGTTCCCCATGAAATACCATGACATAGAAGCATTGCTTCAGAAATATGAAGACTCACCTGCTATGTTCAGCCCCTAAGCCCATCTTTCTGTGATGTGTTGTTGATTCAGGACTTGGGTATGAAACCTGACCTTTATTTTTCTGTTACACAACAACACAGAAATCAGACATTGAAATGCCTCATTGACATATTCAGAAGCATGGAAGTACTTTTGTGCTTTTTAAAATTAATTAGATGTCAGCACACAGATTATGACTCAGGACACCCAAATTTCATTTATCATCTTGCTGCCTCCATGAAGGGACTGGACTGCAGTTGCTGGCAGATATGGAAGACGGAGCAATCCGGGCACTCAGCTTCTCATTGTGGACCTTGGAGCTGTCTCATGAATATAATTATCCCACATGCAGGAGTATTTTCACAGCTATATTATGTTTAATATGAAATTATTAGCTTTAAAATTAATGTGGAACTTAATATACATTGAGGAATTGTTATTTGTAAGGTATTACTCTAAATTTTTTCTTATTTATTTAATCATCTCAACAACAGTGATGTGAGGTGGCTGTAATGATGATCTCCATTTGGCATTGAGGACAGAGACAAAGAGAAGTGACTCATTCAAAGACCTAGATCTGGGAGACAGGAGAAGTCAGATAAGTAACAGTTGCTCACTAAGGAAAGTCTAATAAAATGATATAAAAAAAGACAGTAAAAGTCACCATTCTATACTTTTACTTTGTTTCTCTCCCTACTTCTTTATGAATAGACGCAGGATTACTTAGTATTATCTATAATAATAAAAGCATAATATGCTAATTAGACCAGATATCCTTACGAATGAATCAGGCTGTGAGGAAAGCCCAGGTCCTGGGTGCCAGCAGGAAGCCGGTGCTGGCAGCTGGGAGAAGAAAGGCCTCCTCTTGCACGAATTTTGTGCATTGGGCCTCTAGTATATAAATAAACATTTTAAGGTAGGATTTGAATATTTGTCTTTATATTCTTTTCTTTTGGCTAACTTTTATTTTCATCAATATGGAGGTCTTTCAATAATCAATGTGAGTATTCTAAAATGATCAAAGATCATTTAACACCTTCCTATGCCACTTAACCCTATCAGACATTTGTTAGCTTACCTGAACTTCGTATCTCTCTTTGCACATATGTTCCTTGCCTGTATTTGTATCTTTTTCTTTTTTCAGAGAGGGAAGGAGAGGTAGGGTGAGATAGAAAAATCAATGATAGGAGACAATCGATTGGCTGCCTCCTGCACGATCCCTAAGCGGATCAAGCCTACAACCAGAATGTGTGCCCTGACTGGGAATCGAAACCTGACCTCCTGGTTCATAGGTAAATGCTCAATCACTGAGCCATGTCACAGGACTATATGTATGTTTTAAAGCTATTCAGAGGCTTCCATTATAACATTACATTACAACCAAACACTCAAATATTAGTATCTGATGCATTGAGTCTTCAATGATGTCATGAAGTCTTATTAGTATTATTATCAAACAAGAGAAAATTACTTTAAATATTTTTATGATAAAACCATATGAGCTCATTTAACAAAATATGCAAAGTTAATTAAACTGCATAGAAGAAATAAAGCCATCTAGTCCCTCAGTAATAATAATTCTAACAGTTTTTGAGAATTCCCTTCCCCCTTTTATTCTTTTTCTATCAATACAGTTTTCTGGTTGAGAGGTTACTATACACTCATTAATTTTTCCTTATATTATATTGTGAATATTTTTAAATTTTACTAATCAATCCATAATCATGATTTTCAATGTCTACATAATAGTCTAACCATTGAGTGCAATGTATTTCTGGTGTCTCTATCCCTGTTATTCACCATTTAGCCTGACATATAAAAAGCTGCTGGAGAGTTTTCTTCTCAGCTCTGAGCACAGGAGTGTCTCTCTGTCAGCACCTCACCACTGCTCTAGGAGGCCCTTTGGGGACTACATGAGACAACCATGTGAAGAAAGTAGCAGCGGTATGTTGACAAGCTTGTCTGTACTTTCCTGCTGAAAGGGCTCATGTTCTCAGATTCTTTGTGTTTCTCTCGGGTCTTTCCTTTTCACTTTTCTCCTATTAAATGTTTAGATTAATTATGAGCTGTTCTTTCCCTTGACCCATCCTCAGCCTGGTGCATAAGCAGAATCAGGGGTTACTCACAGAAGGGTAGGCTCTCCTAATGGCCCCAATGGCTGTGACCTCCTTTCTGCTGACATCATGTTCCTACAGCCACGAATGTGAAGTGAGGAACTATCTTCCTCCTCCCCCAGCAAGAGGATACTTGCTCCATCCCAGATTTACCCCGAGTATTTTGCTTCTTATCGAATTGTGATGTTTATGTTTTCAAGGAAGTTGCATGGTCCAGTTAAAAACACATAGACTTCTGTCTTTGATCAAACACTTTAATTCTCAGAGCTTCATTGTCTTTATCTGCAAAATGGGCAAATAATGGTTATATTTCTGGGGTGTGATGATAATTAGATGTGGGAATGTGTATGTACCATATCTAGGCATGCTGGTTCAAATGATTCCTCCCTCAGCCTGAGTCACTCTGTTAGTGAAGGTCTTTGGATGGTGATATGATCAATAGGGCCTGTGTCTACTCATTCCACAATGAGACTTTTATTCACAAGGAAGTAGTTTAAATGAAGATTTGGGAACATCATGGTCGGAGATGCCTCCTGCTCAAGGTGGGGCCTAATGTGTGAGGAACACCGTTGGCTTCCTGGGAACTCAGAGGTGCAGCAGAGAAGGCGAGGTGGAGGCTGGAGGCCCAGGCAGGCGTTAGTTGTGTTTGCACCTTGAAGGAAGGCTGGGTGGGGCACACACCCGGAAGAGGCTGTTGTTGGGCAACTTGGCACCTCTAGTGCTGTGGGTCCCACCAGCACAGTAGTCAATGCCCACATGTTTGACTGTGACGTTTATGGTCAGGGCTGAAGTAGATTTTTGAAAACTTTTTCTTGCCTCAAATTTGTTGCTTTTCTTCGCTAATTGAACTGGAGCAGGGGTTTTGTTGAGATGATTAACTTCAATGGTGTCCTAATTTGGTTTGGTTTCTATTGATACCAGTCTATAACTGTATTGTCAAAGGCTTCAGTGGACATCATACAAGAAATGAGCCCTTTTTCAACTGTTCTGAAAATTGACAATTAGGTGGATCCAGCTGTAACTGCCCATGTCCAGTTGCAAACAAAAAGTGGAAATTCTCCTGAACATCTGACATAGAGACAGGAAACAATGAAAAATCTCTTTCAACTCTGATCCATGTTGATATAATTGAGAAGCAACTCACAAGCTCAGAGTGAGAAAAATATGAATGTTTCCACAGGGACATCCTGCTGTCTGCCAGACTGTGTCACCAAGAAGGAGGCAGGAAAGTGAGGACTCAGGCTGTCCAGGTCAGTGTGGGGAGGGGAAGCAATGGGTCAGGTGTTCCTTTGAGATTTCTGAAGTCAGCATTTGCTTTACACTTTCTTCTTTTTAAAAATATATTTTTGTTGATTTCAGAGAGGAATGGAGAGGGAGAGAGATAGAAACATCAATGATGAGAGAGAATCATTTATAGGCTGCCTCCTGCACTCCCTACACTGGGGACTGAGCCTGCAGCCAGTGCATGTGCCCTGACCAGGAATCAAACCAGGTCCTCCTAGGTCTGAGGTCAACACTCAACCACTGAGCCATGCTGGGTGGGCTTTCTTTACACATTCTAGCTGAGTTCCTGGGTCCCAGCAGTTGGTTACAAACAACATAGTGCATGACTCAAGTTCCATGGGGAGGGAGGCTCAGGCTGGGGCCCAGCTGTGCAGCCTCTGCAGTTACTCATTGAGAGAAGGATGTGGGTGGGCACAGACTGATGATGGTTCTTGTGCAGGTGATCCTGGCATCTCTAATGCTGTGAATGCCAGTCCAGCAGGCACAGAAGTACACGGCCTCATCTTCTTTTTCTAAGAAATTTATTGTCAAGGTGGAAGTTGAAGTTTGTGTATATTTACTTGCCTTAAATTTGCTGTTCTTCCCAAAAACAGTGGCTGTGGAGGCAACTTGTATTAAATGTTCTATACTCTGATCTGGTTTCTGCCGGTACCAGTGAATGTAATCTTTGTCAAAGGTGCCAGAGGACACCTTACAAGGTATCTGGGCACTCTCATCTCTTGCACTAGAAACTGATATTTCAGGTTGCTCCAACTTTAACTGTCCAAGGCCAACTGCAAGCAAAAATAAAATAAAAATAAACTCCCATGAACAAATGACATGTAAAGAGGTAACAGTAAAGAATTTCTTGTGTCTGTCTTATAGACTGAAATGATGGGGACAACTCACAGGCCCAGAGGGAGAGGAAGATGACAGCTTCCAGTGGTGGCATCCTGTGCACCAAGCAGCTCCCAGGGAGAAGGTTAGACACCGAGGTCCCTGTTAGCAGACCAGTGGCAGGGGGCGGGGCTGGTTCTGGTTTCTCAGAAGAAGTGGTGGCTCAGATGTTCCCGTGGTTCTTCATGAGCTGCTACAGATGTGACCAGTTCTGGGGCTCCCGGTGCCCCATAAGAGCTGGGAAGACTCGGTAAGAGGGTCCATGATCTGGAAAGAAAATATTTTGTGAAAAACGTGTCAGTCTTGGGGTTGGTCAGGGATGGTTCTCATAGCCACTCAACTGTTCCCCATGAACTACCATGTCATGGAAACATTGCTTCAGAAATATGAAGACTCACCTGCTATGTTCAGCCCCTCCCTAAACCCATCTTTCTGTGAAGTGCTGTTGATTAAGAACTTGGGTATGAAATCTGGCCTTTATTTTTCTGTTACAGAACAACATAGAAATCAGACACGGAAACACCTCATCGACATTATTTAAGACACCATATGCAGAAGCATGGAAGTACTTTTGTGCTTTTATAAATCAATTGAGGTGTCAGCACACAGATTATGACTCAGGGCACCCAAATTTCATTTATAATCTGGGTGCCTCCAAGAAGGGACTGGACTGCAGTTGCTGGCTGATATGGGAGACAGAGCAATTTGTAGAACTCAACCTCTCATTTTTGGACCTTGGAGCTGCTTCCTGAACGTAAGTATCCCATATGCAAGAGTATTTTCAAAGCTATATTATGTTTAATGTGTAACAATAAGTTTTAAAATTAATGTGGCATTTAATAACCATTGAGGAATTGTTATTTGTAAGGCATTTTTCTAAATGTTTACTTACTTATTCAATCCTTTCAGCAACAGGGCTGTGAGGTAGCTCTTATGATGATGTCCATTTGGCATTGAGGACAGTGGCAAAGAGAAGTGACTCATTCAATGACCCAGATCTGTGAGACAGGAGAAGTCAGATAAGTAACAGTTGCTCATTAAAGAAAGTCTGAGTAAAATTATATTTAAAAAATGACAGTAAAGGCACCCATTTTATACTTTGTATTTCTCTACTTATTTATGAACTAGAGGCCCAATGCATGAAATTTGTGCACAGGGTGGGTGGGGGAGGTGGCCCTCAGCCTAGCCTGCACCCTCTTGCAATCCGGGACCTCTCAGGGGATGCCGGACTGCTGGGATCAGGCCTAAACCGGCAGTCGGACATCCCTCTTGCAAATCGGGACTGCTGGCTCCTAACCACTTGCCCGATTTTCTGCCTGATCACTCCTAACCACTCTGCATGCCTGCCTCACCGCCCCTAATCACTTGCCTGCCTGCCTGGTCACCCCTAACCGCCTCTGCCTGCCTGCCTGATCGCTCCTAACTACTCTGCCTGTCTGCCTGATGCCCCTAACCACTCGCCTGCCTGCCTGATCACCTCTAACTGCTTCCATTATAACATTACATGAGGGTAATGCACCAAACACTCAAATATTAGGACCTGGCCAATCATAAGCCTTCAATAATATCATGAAGTCTTGTTAGTATTGTTATCATACAAGTGATAATTACTTTGTTAAATATTTTTACTGTAAAACCATATTAGCTCATTTAAAAAAAGATGTAAAGTTTATCAAAGTACATAGAAAAAATAAAGCCATCTAGTCCTTCAGAAATAATCATTCTCACAATATTGGAGGATTCACTTCCCCCTTTTATTATAATTCTGTCAATACAAATAATTTTATTGTTAAGAGGTTATTTGTACACTCATTAATTTTTCTTTATGTTATATTGTAAATATTTTTGAATTTTAGTAATCAATCCATAAAACATTGTTTTCAAAGGCTGTTTAATATTCTGTTCTTGAGTGCAATGTAAATATGGTGTCTCTATCCCTGTTATTCACCATTTAGCCTGACATATAAAAAGCTGCTGGAGAGTTTTCTTCTCAGCTCTGAGCACAGGAGTGCCTCACTGTCAGCATCTCACCACTGCTCTCGGAGGCCCGTTGAGGACTACATGAGACAACCATGTGAAAAAGGTAGCAGCGGTGTGTTGACAAGCTTGTCTGTACTTTCCTGCTGAAAGGGCTCATATTTTCAGATTCTTTGTGTTTCTCTCAGGTCTTTCCCTTTCCCTTTTCTCCTATTAAAAGTTTAGATAAGCAGTAAGGCCTTATGTCAGCTTAAGAAATCTATTGTGGTGCACACTGGGAGAACATGATGGTCAGGAATCCCAGGGACAGGATGGACTCACAAAAGGCTGCGTACATCAGAGGTAGAGGAGCAAGGCTGAGAGGCTTATTCCATGTCAGCCTTTCCTGTCAATCTCCGTCTTTTGTCCAATGGCCTCCCTGCATTGATAACTGGAACCAGGGTCCTTAGAAGAGGAGGTGGTGTGGATGCATATGTTGCCATGATCTTAGAAATTATCAAATGGATAAGGGAGTGTGTATGCCACAGGGGCAAGGTGACATCCATATTGTTTCTGTGGGGGCCCAGGATGTACTGGATAAGAAGAATGCATGGATTAAAGGGCAGTCATTTGTTTCACAATTATTTCAGAGGTGCATTATGAAAGGACAAAATTTTTATTTTATATTTTAAAAAACTGATAACTTATTGACATTTTATGTGTTCTGTGAAGACGCCAGATCACTCCAATCCTGGTCACATGATTCAGTGCAAAGTATAGATTGTGTTGTTTCACCAAGGTCAGTTTTGTTTTCTCCATGGGTGTAGGAACAATGCACAGCACTTCTTTTATCCTCTTATGATCTAGAGGCCAGACTCTGAAGCGAGATTACGTGAGTCCAATCCTACTTTGAGAATTTGTTGACACAGTTTTAAAGCTTTCCGTGTATTATAAAATGTTGAAAATAAAGGACTTCATCATTTACTTTTAACTATTTCCCCCCACACATTTATACCAAGTAACATGTTTGCTTGGGTCCTTATACATTTTTAAAAATATTTTAAAATTTAAAGTAAAATGCGTTAACTATTTTTATATTAAATTTTATTAATACAGTTTTATATTCTTTTGTAGTTAACTTTATATTTTAAAAATATATCAGGTCCTTAAAAATTATATGTGAATATTATTATAAATGACCTATGGCCAGTAGTTGAGTGTTGACCTATGAACCAGGAGGTCATGTTTGATTCCTGGTCAGGACGTATGCCTCGGCTGCGGGCTCAATCCCCAGTAGGGGGCGTGTTGGTGGCAGTAAATTGGTGATTCTCATCATTGATGTTTCTAGCTCTCCCTCTCCCTTCCTCTCTCTGAAATCAATAAACACATACTTTTAAAAAAATGACCTATTAAAATATGCACCCTCTTGGCTACTCACTTACCCTTTCTGGCCCTGGCTGAATTATTTAATCACTCTGTGTCTCAGTTTCTTCATCTACAATTGCCTAAATGAATATCGTTCATAGACTAAGAACTTTTCATTAACAACTGAGAGTGAGAATGAACACAAAGTATAGACAATGCTGTTTGGCACATAATAAGGCCTGTTTGATGTTTCTAAGTTGTATTTTTCTTTTATTGAGAAAATTAACTTCTTAAATAATTTTTAATTATAAAAATTCTCCTAGTCTCTTTTTTGAAAGAATATAAAATTAAGAAAAGTATGAAGAATTAACCAAACCATCCACTCTAACAGCAAAAAAGCACACTCTCTCTTACTATACAAGTATTTCCTTTTATTTTTTCTTCCAACAATTAAACATTTATGTATTTGAGATTTAATGTATTCTCATTAGTACTTTATGTGTTTTTTGATATTTAAATGTATTTAATAAATATTCAAGAATGCTATTTTAATGGCTTCATAATATTCTATCATTTGAATGCAACATAAATTACTTGCTTCATTCTCTTTGTTCACCGTTGAATTTGTCATTAATTTTTTTAAGGATAATATTGAAAAGCTGATATAACTTTTATCTCCTGATATATGTCCCTCTGAAGATTCTGGATTGTGAAGGTACACTGCTCTTCTGTACATAAATTATGAAAATACATGCAAAAGATGAGCAAGGATATTTTGAGAGGATCTACACTGTCATGTATTCCTTTTGGAAAGGGCTCATGTTCTCACATTTGGTGTGCTCCACTTAAGTTCTGGTCTCTATTTTGCTCGAATAAAAATGTGGAGGATTAGGAAGCTTCTGTTTAGGCTCAAGAAGACAATGTTTTTGAGAGTCATGATCATAAGTACTGTTGTCTCCATGTGAATCAAAGAAATAATTGCCCACCAGAAGTGAGAGAAGGGCTGAGCGATCACATGTCTAATCCCATCTCTGTGTCCGCCTGGCCTGAAAGGGTTACTCTTTTTTCTCTTTCAGTCCATCTCCAAATTAAAAAAAAATAGACTGCGAATCATTGAAATAGGGACTAGAGAGAATAAATATGTTGGTTTTATTTGGGTAAATTTTAATTAAAGTGAACAGTGTATATATAGGGAACTTGCAAGGAAATACCTATTTTCTTATAAGAAGCCCACTACAGACATCACTTTTAGAAAAATAAAGTAAGGCTAGCCCGGCCTGTGTGGTTCAGTGGTTGAGCACCCACCCATGAAACAGGAGGTCCCGGTTAGATGGCCAGGGCATTTGCCAGGGCTGTGGGTTTGATCCCCAGTGTGCAGTGTGCAGGAGGCAGGCGGTCAATGATTCTCTCACATCACTGATGTTTCTATCTCTCTCTCCCTCTCTTTCCTCTCTGAAGCCAATAAAAATATATTTAAAAAAAAAAAAAAAAGGAAGAAAGAAAGGCCCAGCCTGGATGGTGTGGCTCAGTGGTTGAGCATTGACCCATGAACCAAGGCTCCATCCCCAATAGGAGGCATGTAGGAGGCAGCTGATCCATGTTTCTATCTCCTATCCTTCTCCCTTCCTCTCTCTCTTAAAAAGAAGTGTATAATGAAAACATTTTTTATATTGAAAAGTCAATTGATAATCTATTGGCATTTAATTTATTCTGTAAAGACACCTAATCACTCAAATCCTGGGCACATACTTCAGTGCACAATAATAATTTGTATCAGTCAAGGTTCCATTATGATTAGTCTGTCTCCCCTAAGGGGATGGGAGTAATATGTTCTTTCTTTTACTGTCTTGTAATTAAGAACAGTTCTAGTGTAATAGTCAAGAGGTGCCAGATTATCTGGGTCCCTACTCTATTCTGCCAACAAGCTACATACCACTGCCTGTGCCTTGGACAAGTGACTGAATCACTTAGTACTTCACCTACCTCATGAGTCAAATATGCTTGATAACGGAACAGATTTACAGAGTTAAAGGAGCGAATATGTTAAAAGAATTGAGAAAATTAATTGGCGATTCACACACATTCTCTCCCTCCCCCCAACACACACTGTTAGTTCTCCTGATTCTGGCAGGTTCTCTCCCTTCTTTCACAGGCAAAATCAAGGGTTACCCGATTGAGTGGGCTCATGTAAGGGCCCCGGTGAATTGGGAACTCTGCTCTGATGACATCATGCTGACAGAAACCTTTTCCCCACACCTCCCAGAAAAATGGCACTGCTCCATCCCTAATTTACTGGAGATAGCCTAGTGTTGACTTACATAATTGCAATCTTTAAACTTCACAGTGTAGTGTCACAGTCCAGTTCAAAAAGCATGGACTTGTTGTCTTGGGCTGATCATTAAGCCGAAATTATCCAAGCTTAAGTTCTTTAGTTGTAAAACGGACCAATAATAGTGATTTTGCTAAGGGGTTGTCTTCAGTATAAGCAATAATAATGGCTCCAGCCATCCCTTCCCCACTTTCAGCCTGAAACTGGGTGGTGAGACGAGGGACAGTGGCACAGACTGTGTGCGCTCGGTCCCCAGGCAAGACTTTAATTAGTTGGGACATAGTGTCAGATGAAGCTTTGGGAGCACAATTCCTGGAATCAGTTGGAGGCTGATGCGCAAGCATAAGCCAACGTGGCTTCCTGGAAGCTGAGGAAGAGCTGCAGACAAGGTGAGGCCGAGGCCAGGAGCCCAGCTGGGGAGGCGGGTGCTGGTTGCAGTTGCCACTGTTGGGAAGGATGTGGGTGGGCACGAATCCAAGGCGGGGATCCTGTGTGAGTTGTCTCCACAGTTCTAGGACTGTGAGTCCTACCCACAGAGGACTGTGTGTACCA